GCTCTAACATATACAAAGCAAAAACTGATAGACTTGAAAGAAAAAAATATATAAATTAACCATTATAGCTGGAGATTTCAATACCAGTCTCTTAGTAACTGATAGAACAAGTAGTCAGAAAATGAGCACAGTTATATAAGACTTGTACCAGACAATCAAACCAACTTAACCTGACATTTATAGATCACTCCACCAATAATAGAACTCACATTCTTTTCATGCATATCTGGAACATGTTTTAATAATATTTAGAGGATGAACCCTGGCTGGTGGGCTCAGTTGGTTGGGCGTTGTCCCTTGCACAAAAAAGGTTGCCAGTTCAATTCCTAGTCAGGGTGTATATACGCCTGGGTTGCAGGCTCGATCCCTGGAAGGGGGTATGCAGGAAGCAGCTGGTCAATGTTATACTCTTACATCAATGTTTCTCTCTCCCTCTCCATCTCCATTTCTCTCTCTCTAAAAATGAAAATACTTAAAAAAAATTTAGAGGATGAAACTATAAAGAATATGTTCTCTGACCATGATGAAATTAAATTATAAACTTATAACTGAAAAGTATCTGGAAAATCTGAAAATATTTGGAAATTAAACCACGCAATACTAAAGAACACATGGGTCAAAGAAAAAGTCATAAGGGAAATCAGAAAATATTTTTTTATCGAATATAAATGAAACAAGATATATCAGAATCTGTGGGAAATACTTAAAGTGGTATGAATCTTACAGTTTTAAATGCTTATATTAGAAAAGAAAAAAAGTAAAATCCAATGATATAAGTTCCCACCTTAAGAAAATAAAAAAAGAAGAAATTAAGTTGAAATTAATTACAAAGAAGAGAATACTGGTTATAAGAGTAAAAATTAATGAAATATAAAATACACATACTATGGAGAAAAATCAATGAAATTAAAAGCTGGTCCCTTGAAAAGATTCATAAAACTAATAAACCTTTAGCAAAACTGATTTAAAAAAATAAATAAAATGCAAATTATCAATATCAGGAATGAAAGAGGAACATTAAGACAGTTCCTTAAGACAAAAAAGGAAAATAAAAAAAACGCCATGAACAACTTTATGCCAATAAATTTGGCAGCTTGGATAAAATGATCAAATTCCTTGAAAGACAGATATTATCAAAACAGATTCAATAAGAAACAGAAAACTTGAATAGCACTATATTGATTAAACATACTAAATTCATAATTAAAAACCTTGCTATAAAGCAAATTCCAAGCCCAGATAACTTCACTACTCATTTTTATCATACATTCAAGGGACAAATAACACAAATACTACACAACTTCTTTCAGAAAAGAGAAGTGAAGGAAACACTCACCAGCTCATTTTACAAGGTCAGTATTACCCTAATATCAAAACTTGAAGAAGATATCACAAAACAACTATCTATAACAGACAAACATCTCTCTTGAACACACAAAAAAATCATTAACAAAATAAAAGCAAGTCAAATACAGTAATGTATAAAAATAATAATACCTCATGACCAAGTGGAGGTTACCCTAGAAGACTGGTGTAACACTTGGAAAAAAATCAATGTAATTGATCATATTGATATAATAAAGGAGATAGCCTATAGCTCAATAATAGATGGAGAAAAAGCATTTGTCAAAATTGAACACCCATTTACTATAATAAGTCAGCAAACTAGAAATAGAAAGGAACTTCCTCAATCTGGGAAAGGGCATTTAAGAAAAACTAACATTAGATACTTAATGGTTAAATATCTAATGCTTTCCTCCTAAGATAGGGAACAAAGCAAGGATTCTGTTCTCACCACTTCTATTCAACATCAGATCCTAACCAATGCAAAAAGGTAAGATAAAGGCATACTGGAAAGGAATCTAACAAACGAAGAAAAATCAAGTGAATTTAGTAGCGAGGTCACAGGACACAATGTCAATACACAAAGATTGGTTGTATTTCTATATTACAACCATATGAATGAACAATTGGAAAAAATTAAAAAACCTACTTCCATTTAGAATACATAAAAATACTTAAGGATAAATTTAGCAAAAGATGTTCAACACAAAGATGTTCAACACCTGAATACTGAAGCTACAAAATATTGTTGAGACATTAAGGAAGACACATAGATAGAGAGACATTTACAGACTGGAAGACTTGCCAATGTAAAAAAAAAAAAGCAATTTTCTGCAAATTGATGACATATGGGTTCAACATATCTCAATAAAAATCCCAGGAGTATTTTTTTAGAAATATTCACACTCACTATAAAATGCATAAGAAATACAAAGTACCTAGAAATACCAAAATAATTTTTTAAAAAGAACAATTTTGGAGGACTCATACTACCAGATTTCAAGATTCACTAAAAATTACAAAAATTAAGAGAGTGTGGAATTGACATACTGATATATAGATAGACATAAGATTCAATGGAAGGAAACAAAGAGTTCAGAAATAGACCCATATATAATGGTTAACTATTTTTTTTTTTTTAAACAAAGGTAATGTAATGGGGGAAAGAACAATCTTTTCATCAAATGGTTCTGGAACTTAGTATACTTATGGAAAAAAAAGGAAGCTTGACTCAACTCATATCATATACAAAAATTAATCTGGAAGGGATCACACTTAAATACAAAAGCTAAAATCATCCAACTTCTAGAAGAAAACAAAGCAGAAAATCTTTGTGACCTTGGGTGGGCAAAGATTCTTAACTATTAAAGCATGAAACATAAAATGAAAATAGAAAAATTAGAGTTCAAAAAATTAAAAATGTTTTCTCTTCAAAAGATACCATTAATAAAATTAAAAAGCAAGTCACAGAATAGAGGAAAATATCTGCCAAACATAATAGGAGCTGTATCCAAAAATATATAAAGAACTCTTACAATTCAATAAGACAAACAATCCAATTAAAAAATAGGCAAAAGATTTAAACAGATACTTCACAAAAAAGATAATCAAATGGCCAATAAGCACATGAAACGATGCATAGAACTATACACTCAATAGAATGGCTAAAGTTTTTTTTTTTTTAAAAAGGATAATAATACCTACTATTGGTACAAAGATATAGCAATTGAACTTTTCATATATTGCTAGTGGGATGCAAAACTGTTTGCAAAACAGTTTGCCAGTTTCTTATAAAGTTAAACATACACTTACCCGATAACCCAATAATCCACTCCTAGATTATCTATCTACCCAGGAGAAATGAAAACATGTCCACACAGACTTGTGCACAAATGTTCAGAGCAGCATTATTCATAAAAACCAAGGACTGGAAACGACCCATATGTCCATGTGAATGGATAAATTATGGTACATTCACACAATAGAATACTACTCTGCAATAAAAAGGAACAAACTACTGATATACACAATATGGATGAGTCTCAAAAACATCACAGTAAGTGAAAGAAGCCACACACACAAGACTACTCATGATTCCATCTATGTGAGATGTTAGAAAAAGTAAACCACCACGACAACAAGCATAGAGAGGTTGCCTGGGTTTGGGAGTGGGGAAAGAAAAGTGAGTGTAAAGGAGCAGGAGGTAACTTTTTGGAGTGATGTTCCAGGTCTTGATTTTGATGATAGTTACACAATCATATGCCAAAACTCATCAATATGTACACTCAAAAAGGGTTAATTTTATTACATGTGAATTATACCTCAATCAACTGTGGGAAAAAAAACCATACAGTACAGCAGCATTTTCTCCTTGACTATTTGGAATTGAAAAATAACCAATAAAGAACTACATTTAAAGAAAAATGATATAAAACTTGCCCTGGCTGGTTTGGCTCAGCGGTTAGAGCATCGGCCTGTGGTCCGGAGAGACCTGGGTTCGGTTCCCGCTAAGGGCATGTACCTCGGTTGCAGTTTGTCCCCGGCCCTGGTTGGTCGTGCGGGTGGCAGCCACTCGATGTGTCCCTTTCACGTCGATGTTTCTCTCTCTCTCTCTCCCTCCCACTCTATCTGTGCAAAAAATGGAAAAATGTCCTCGGGTGAGGATGAAAAAAAAAAGAAAAATGATATAAAACTTGGAAATAACAGAAAAGACGGACTGTACTTTCTTTCAGTGTCCTACTGGAGGACTGTTAAACAGGCCCACACAAGAACCGTTTAATTCTCTGAGAGAATGTTCTTGTGTTTGACTTTCTTATCTACTATTGACTGAAGGCTCAGATTCTGTGAAGTTTCATGTTAATGTGCAGATTTTTGTATTTAATAGAAATGCAAATGATTTCTATCTTGTAGAAAAGATAACCCCAAAGGTTATAGGCCCATTGCCTTGTAGGAAAACCTGAATCTTCAAATGCTCTTTGAACCACTTTTTCCTGCTATTTCTCTCAACAGTGAGTTGAAAAATCCTGACCCAATTTCATTTTCTAGTTGTATAAAATTATGTTTTTAATTTTTTAACATCACATTTTGATGACTGCTAGTCAATGTTACATTTCAGTGTCACTTAAAATCATCTCAGGTACATTGACATAAACCATACACTTTGAGAAACCCATTAGGTTATACCTGAAGTAAAAACTTGGAGGATTATTTTCAGTACACTGTACTTTCTTTATAACTTTATGACTATTCTGTGTTAGTACCAAAGTTAGAAAATCTTGATGGAGCATCCTTTTTTTAAAAATATTTTTTCTTTATTGATTTTAGAGAGAAAGAAAGGGAGAGGGAGAGAGACATAGAAACATCAATGAGAGAGAACATGGATTGGCCACCTCTTGCATGCCCCCCACTGGGGATTGGGCCCATAACCTGGGCACGTGCCCTGACCAGGAATCAAACCAGCGACCTCTTGGTATATGGGTCAGTGCTCAACCACTGAGCCAAACTGGCCAGGCAGAGCATCCTTTATTTATTTCTTCCATGTTACAGCCTACCACATAGACTTATAAAGCCAATTCCTCCTCCCTTGTATTAAAGCCTTCAGAATACCACCCCTTCATAAAAGTAAGGTTTGATTTTTAACATAGAAATCAATGTACTTTGTTTCTTGGCTACTTCTTCTTCATCTCCAACTTCATCTTCAGTGACCTCAGATCCAGTGGTATATTCTTCTTCTTCTGAAAATAATGACTGTTGTTTCTGAATTAAAAAGGTAATATACATCCTATTGAAAATATAGTATTTATCATATCCCTAATAAATTTTTTTCAAACAGATTTATCTAAATTTATTTTCAATTAATGAGTTAAACAAGAGCTGATAAAATAACGACTGCTTAGCAAAACATTTTGGAAACAGATATATGAATTTCTATATTTAGGAGAGGATTGCACTACATCAAATATGTTTTATTTATTTCCTTCACATATTCTAGCAGAGTGATGGGCCCCTAATAGCTGCTCAGTATTTGCTGAATTATACCTCTATCTCTGAACTGAATGTATATTCCTTGATATTAAGAATAAATTAAAATAGCCCTGGCCGGGTTGGCTCAGCGGTTAGAGTGTTGGCCTGCAGTCCAGAGAGAGCCGGGTTCAGTTCCCACTAAGGGCATGTACCTCAGTTGCAGTCTGTCCCTGCCCCTGGTTGGGTTGTGCAGGAGGCAACCACTCAATGTGTCCCTTTTACATCGATGTTTCTCTCTCTCTTCCTCTCTCTCCCTCCCACTCTATCTGAAAAAAAAAGAAAAAATGTCCTCGGGTGAGGATAAAAAAAAAGAATTACTTAAAATATAATAATTGCCAATATTAAGTAGTCTCGTAAACAAGCACATGTGCACATTCTCTGGGTCAATGGGGTCCTGGATTACTTAAATGTATCCACATCAGTTTCCTGTATGCACCCACCCTTCTGTCTGTCATCACTGATACAATTCTGACTCCATTTTTTGTGAATATTCAAGGCAGATAGCGTAGTAAAGGCAAACAAGTAAAAAAAAAAAAAAAAATCAACCAACTAATCAATGAACCAAATAACTGGAAAGTTATACTGAGATTTGTTGCTTTGTTCAGTGTTCTAAATGTGACATAAAAATAACTTTTATTTATTACTTATTTATTTATTATTTCTTTAATCCTCACCCAAGAATATTTTTCCATTGATTTTTAGATAAAGTGAGAGGGAGGGAGAGGGAGAGAGAAACATCGATGTGAGACAGACATACTGACTGGTTGCCTCTCGCATGACCCCGACCAGGGCCAGAGATCAAACCTGCAACCAAGGTACGTGCCCTTGACCTGAATCAAATCCGAGACTCTCTGGTCCGCAGGACCACACTCTAATCGTTGAACCAAAATGGCTAGGGCTAAAAATAACTTTAATAGAGTCATTTAAGTAGACTTATGGATTATGCAGCCAGATAATAGAGTATGTGTCTGTTTTAAACAATGACATTTTTAGTAAAATATAAAATTGTAGATACTGAAAAGGATGATAAACATTTAACTAAAATCTATAAAATAAGATGTTAATAACATTATATTAATCTAAACTTTAATTTAGGAAGAAAGAGATCCATGAAAGTGGAATATAGTTGCTCACTTACCAATTGCAGAGTCCAGTTTTTCAGTGACAAAAACTATAAAAAAGACATAAGAATAAGAGATTAATAAATCTGCATCTACCCAGATCACAGCTCCTTATTTTCTTATGAATATTGCAGAAGAATTTTAAAGTTACAAGTATAGCCCTGGCCGGTTTGGCTCAGCGGTTGGAGCATCTGTCAAAGATCACGTCATCAAATGTTTATATAAATAAAGAATAAGTGAAATAAGCTACTCACAGCATTGAGCTCCCCACTTTTGGGGCCCCATGGTGTATTTGGTTCCAATAAAACATCACAGTCCAGACTCTTCTCATCACAGGGACCAACCCCAGAATCACTAGGAAGAAAAAGAAAGTTTATTGAGAAATGTTCAATTTCTTAAGAATTTAAATGCAAATGATATCGTTTTATTGCAAATATTTTATAAATTTCTCTTTAGAAACATAATTCTTGAGTCTAAGGTATTCCACTTCAAATTTTACATTTCTTTTTTACTTAAATGTTTTTATTGATTTTTTAGAGAGGGAGAGAGAGACAGAAACATCGATGAGAGAGAGAAACATCAACATCAATCTGCTGCCTCCTACATGCCACCCTCCACAGGCCACTTGGGATGGAGCCTGCAACCAGGGCATGTGCCCTGACCAGGAACTGAATCAGAGACCTCTTGGTGCATAGGTTGACACTCAACCACTGAGCCACACCAGCCAGGCAAATTTTACATTTCTGAACTCACCTGGTGATTTCCCTAGCAGAGATCACTCCAGGCATCATACATGCCAGGTGGAGAAATGGGCTTCTATAATCGGTACTGATTTGAGAACAGCCTTTATTAATAGTGTCCTCCTACCCTCAACCTCACAGCCAGCTGTAGTTGCAAGATGATGAAAGTAACTTCAGAAATTACTGACTTCAAGGAGCTCAAATTTATGCCAAGATGACCTAAACCATCAACTATGTTTCTGGTTGTGTCAATCAAGCATTTAAGATGAACTTAAGTAACTTGGGGGGGGGGAACACCTCAAAATTGGATTATGGGCTCTGGCCGGTTTGGCTCAGCACTTACAGTATTGGCCCAAGACCAATGAGTCGCAGGTTCGATTCTGGCCAAGGACACATACCTCCGTTGCGGTTTGTCCCTGGCCCTGGTCGGGTCATGTAGGAGGCAACCAATCGATGGGTCTTCCTCACATTGATGTTTCTCTCTCTCTCTCCCTCCTTTCCACTCTATCTGATGATAAATAGAAAACTACACTAGGGACAACTAAACTACAGAACAACCATCATTCAGAATTGCCTGAAATCTAGCTGAATGGAAGTACTACAACTATAAAATTAAAGCAGCAGCCATATCGAGACTGGTAGGAGGGGTGGAGGGGCAGACGGGCTGGTCCCACACTCATGTGTGGTGGATAAAAATCAGGAGGGATGCCCTGGCCGGTTTTGCTCAGTGGTTAGAGTGTCAGCCTGTGGTCCAGAGAGACCCAGGTTTGGTTCCCGCTAAGTTGCAGTTTGTCCCCAGCCCTGGTTGGGTCGTGCGGGAGACAGCCACTTGATGTGTCCCTTTCACGTTGATGTTTCTCTCTCTCTCTCCCTCCCACTCTATCTGAACAAAAAATGGAAAAATGTCCTCGGGTGAGGATTAAAAAAATAAAATCAGGAAGATCCTCCTTGAAGATCAAGGGGTCCCCATCCCACATCAGGCACCCCAGCTCAGGGTTCCACTGCCACGAAAATAAGTCCCCATAACTTCTGGCTGTAAAAACCAGTGGGGAACTGAGGCTGCTGGAGCCCTAGGCAGTTCCTCTTAAAGGACCCAAACAGAAACTCACTCCCTCTGAGCTCCAGCGTGGAATGGAGGCAGCTTGAAAGGCACCAGAGACAAATGAGGAAGAACTGAGTTGTTTCACATCAGGGTGAGAGCTGGCGAAAGCCATTGTTCCTTTGGTGAGTCCTTCCCCCATGAAGCCGGCAGATGGGCACCATATCTGGAACTCCAGCAACCTGGCTCACGCTGTTTGCTCCACCCTGGTGATTCCCTGAGGCCCTGCCCCACCCAACTTTTGGGCCCACCCAAGATGTTTTCAGTGGCTTTACCATAGGATTGTCCTGTTTTGTCTCCTGCTTTCGATTTTCCTAAATTCTCTCAAATAAGCAGCATCTGGCTACAGTGAGCCCCATACCTCTTGCTAAGTGGCCCCATGCCTGGCACAAGAAGCATCCAGCCTTAGTTCACAGCTAGGCTTTGCCTGGGCACCTCCAAGCTCAGCACAAGAAGAAGCCATTAGCTGATCGCTTGTACCTGGTGGCCCCAGGTAGAACACAGGCAGTGGCTAACCTTGCCCCAGAGCCAGCACACCCAGTGGACAGCTTCAGACCACACTGAAGCACCCCACCCAACCACCTTCACAAGTGACACACTCAAGGAATGAACTTAGTGGGTACCAGAGCCCTGCAGAAGTAAGTCTTGCTCTGTGTGGTGGGCCCCTGCACAATGGATCATCCAAGGTGGTCAGAGGTCGGTGGTCAGTGGGCAGAGCCAGTCCTTGCAGCTGATCAGCCTGAGTAAAACCGTCCCAAAGATGTGCCAACAGCAATCAAGACTCAATTACAACAGACATGTGTAAAGTCCACACAAGGGATGCACCTCAAGGACCCAGCTGGGGTGACCAGGGAGGCTGTGCCACTGGACCCTACAGGACACCTACTACAGCAGGCCACCCTAGGAAGCCTAAGAAACACAGCAACTCTACCTAATACATAAAAACAAACACAGGGAGGCAGCCAAAATGAGGAGACAAAGAAACATGTCCCAAATAAAAGAACAGAACAAAACTCCAGAAAAAGAAACAAACAAAATGGAGATAAGCAATCTAACAGATGCAGAGTTCAAAACACTGCTTATAAGGATGCTCAATGAACTTAGTGAGAATTTCAAGGAACTTAGTGAATACTTCAAGAGCATTATAAAGGACCAGTCAGAAATGAAGGATGCACAAACTGAAATAAAGAATAATTTACAGGGAATCAATAGTAGAGTAGGTGAAGCCAAGAAGTAAACCATCAATTTGGAATATAAGGAAGCGAAAACCACCCAATCAGAACAGCAAAAAGAAAAAAGAATTAAAAAAAAAATGAGGATAATATAAGGAGCCTCTGGGACAACTTCAAGCGTATCAACATTCACATTATGGGAGCACCAGAAGGAGAAGAGAGAGGGCAAGAAATTGAAAACCTATTTGAAAAAATAATGACAGAAAACTTCCCTAACTTGGTGAAGAAAACAGACATACAAGTCCAGGAATCACAGAGAGTCCCAAACAAGATAAACTCAAAGAGGTCCACACCAAGATACATCATTATCAAAATGCAAAATGTTAAAGACAAAGAGAATCTTAAAAGCAGCAAGGGAAAAGCAGTTAGTTACCTACAAGGAAGTTCCCATAAGACTGTTAGCCAATTTCTCAAAAGAAACTTTGCAGGCCAGAAGGGTTTGGCAAGAAGTATTTAAAGTGATGAAAAGCAAGGACCTACAACTAAGATTACTCTATCCTGCAAATCTATCATTTAGAATTGATGGCTATATAAAGAGTTTCCCAAAGAAGAAAAAGCTAAAGGAGTTCATCACCACCAAACCAGTATTATATGAAATGTTGATGGGTCTTCTTGAAGAAGAAGATAAAAACATATAAACAATAAAATGGCAATAAATACATACCTATCAACAATTGAATCTACAAACAAAATGAGCAAGCAGAACAGAAACAGATTCATAGATACAGAAAACTTTTTGTTGGTTGCCAGATGGGAGGGGGGGTTGGAGGGATGGGTAAAAAGGTGAAGGGATTAAGAAGTACAAATTAGTTGTTAGAATAAGGAATCTCAAAGGGAAGGGAGGAGGTGGGGTGGGAAGAGAGAAACCAAAGAACTTATATGTATAACCAATAGACACAGACCACAGTGTGGGGAAGGCAGGAGGGGAGTGCGAGTGGGGGTGAGAGGATCAAGGGGGGAAAAAAGGAGGAACATCTGTAAATCATTCAACAATAAAGATAAGTTTAAAAAAGACAAGAAAGAAAAGAAAAATATGCTCGGGTGAGGATTCTAAAAAATTAAAATAAAATTTAAAAAGTGGATTATGGGTCCCAACCTTTCAATCACCACCGACTCCTTTTACTAGTTTTTCTTCCCTTGAACTTCCAATATTTTGGAGTGATTTTCCTATTAAATAAATACCTGCTTTTTCTTATTGTAAACTACTATATAATTTCAGTTAAGCTTTCTGAAGTACTGTAAACTATTTGAGGACTCACATTAGTGATTAGGGCAAGCACTAGGGGATACAGGATTCTGAGATGGGAATCACTGAATAAAGCTGCAGTACAGCACCCCTTCCCCAAACACCCACACCAACCACCATACCTCACCTAACCGTATCTTTAGGGAAAGGCACAACAATGACATCTTTGTGTTTGTGCAGATCCTCCAGTATTCTAGCAGTCGGACAGGACAGCAAATCTCCACCTTCACCTTGATCATGAAGAGCAACCATGTGGTCCCTCACTTTACAACCCTGTTGTACAAGAGACACTAAATTAGAGAGGTCAGTTCTTACAGAAACACTCCTTTAAAGATGACTGCATAGTTGTTGTTTTTTTGTTGTTCTTTGCCTGGTCATATCAACCATTTTAGCTCTTTTTCTCAAGAAAAGAAAAACTCGCCCTGGCCGGTTTGGCTCAGCGGTTAGAGCGTCAGCCTGCGGTCCTGAGAGACCCGGGTTCGGTTCCCGCTAAGGGCACGTGCCTCGGTTGCAGTTTGTCCCCGGCCCTGGTTGGGTTGTGCGGGTGGCAGCCACTCGATGTGTTCCTTTCACATCGATGTTTCTCTCTCTCTCTCTGTTCCTCTCTCCCCCTCCCACTCTACCTGAACAAAAAATGGAAAAATGTCCTCGGGTGAGGATAAAAAAAAAAAAAAAAGAAAAGAAAAGAAAAGAAAAACTCACACAGAAAAGAGCATGAAACATAAATGTATACCTTAAAGAATACCTGAGCCCAGCTGGTGTGCTCAGTGGTTGAGCATCAACCCATGCACCAAGAGGTCGCCAGTTCCATTCCCAGTCAGAACACACGCCCAGGTTGTGGGCCCGATCTCCAGTGGGGGGCATGCAGGAGGTGGCTAGTCTATGTTCTCTCTCATTGATGTTTCTATCTCTCTCTTCCTCTCTCTCTCAAATCAATAAAGAAAAAAAATTTTTTAAAAGAATACCTGAGAGCATTCGTGTAATCACCATTCACATTAAAAAATAGAGTATTTTCAATACTCCAGGAGTCCCCATGGACCCATTCCCCAAAGACCCATACATGCCTCCCTTCTCCCAAAAGATAATCTCTATCCTGACTTTTATATACTCACTTCTCTTGGTTTTTATCCTTTTACCACTTAAGGATGCATCCTTAAATACTATCATTTAGTTTAGCCTCACTTGTTTGGTTCAACATTATGTTTTTATGACTCAACCATGTTATTGTGTGTAACTAACATCTGCTTTAATGTACAGTATTCCTTTGTATGAATATACACACATTTATTTATTCTACAGTTGATAGACGGGTTGTTTTCAGTTTGGAGCTATTATAAATAATACTATTATGAAGATTCTTTTTTTAATTTCTTTTTTTATTTAATTAATTTATTTTTGTTACAGATGTTTCTCCTTTTTCCCCCACTGATACCCCCCTCCCCACCCTGTCCCCAGCTTTATTGTCCATGTCCATTGTTCATGCATACATACATATAAGTTCTGTGGTTTATCTCCCCCCACCCTCTTTTCTGGGGATTGTCAGTCTGTACCCCACTTCCACATCTCTGGGACTACCCCATTCCTCCGACTGTTATGTTCATTAAATTCCACAAGTAAGTGAGATCATGTGATATTTGTCTTTTTCTGCTTGGCTTGTTTCACTTAGGATAATACTCTCCAGGTCCCTCCATGTCGTCTCAAAGGATAAGAGATCTTTCTTTCTTACAGCTGCATAGTACTCCATTGTGTATATGTACCATGGCTTTTTTTATCCATTCATCTACTGATGGACACTTAGGCTGTTTCCAGATCTTAGCTATTGGTAAATAGTGCTGCTATGAACATGGGGGTACATATATTCTTCCTGATTGGTGTTTCAGGCTTCTTAGGGTATATTCCTAGAAGTGGGAACACTGGGTCAAGTGGCAGTTTAATTTTTAATTTTTTGAGGTAACACCATAGTGTTTTCCATAGTGGCTGCACCAGTCTGCATTCCCACATGAACATTCTTTTACATGTTTCTTGGCACACCAGTGCTCATGTGTACCAACATCTATTACTATCAGCAGTGTGTGAGAGTTCTCATTACTCTGTCTCCTAACACTTGGTGAGACATTTTTAGTTGTTCTAATAAGCATGCAATGGTATCTCATTGTCGTTTTTATTGTTTTTCCTCAGTTACAACTGAGGTTGAGCTCCTTTCATGTTTACTGGACAACAACAAATAACTTTGTTGTGTGAAGTTACTATTGTCTTTTTCTTATTGACTTGTAAGAGTTTTAAAAAAATCTTTCAAGGAGATGTGTTGCGTTAGCAACTCACTGGTCCCACCTGTGAGTTTGTCTCCTAGTTTCAGTTTATTTCATGTAGTTGAATTTAAGATCTCTTCTTTTATGGTATTACCTTTTAATATCTTTATTAGTTTTCCTTTCACATATAGGTCTTTTAAAAAAAAAAAAAAAAGTTTAGGCTAGAGTCTAATTCCATTTTTACCCCATACCCAATGTCACAATACTTCTTATTGGAAAGTCTACCTTTTGCCCACTGTTCTGTAATGACACCTATGTCACAGTCAAGTATTCAGTAGCTCTGAGTACTTTATTCTTTTCTATTGGTCAGTCTGTCTATTCTTCATCAGTATCACACTATCTTAATTACCAAAGCTTTATAATAATTAAAAAAATGTTGCCCTGGCCGGTTTGGCTCAGCGGTTAGAGTGTAGGCCTGCAGCCCAGAGAGACCCAGGTTCGGTTCCCACTAAGGGCATGTACCTTGGTTGCAGTTTGTCCCCGGCCCTGGTTGGTCGTGTGGGTGGCAGCCACTTGATGTGTCCCTTTCACATCAATGTTTCTCTCTCTCTCTCCCTCTCCCCTCCCACCCCCCACTCTATCTGAACAAAAAATATGGAAAAATGTCCTCGGGTGAGGATTAAAAATAAATAAATAAATAAATAAATAAATAAATATTTAATGGTGTTTAATTAATTAGTTAATTATTTTTATCCTCACCCAAGGACATTTTGCATTTATCTTCAGATAGAGCCAGAAGGAAAGAGGGAGGAAGAGAGAGAGAGAAACATCTATGTGAGAGAGACACATCAACCGGTTGCCACCCACATGACCCCAACCGGGCCGAGAACAAACCGCAACCAAAGTACGTGCCCTTGGCGGGAACCAAACCCAGGACTCTCCAGTCTGTGGGCCAACGCTCTAACCACTGAGCCAAACTGGCCAGAGCTATAATAATTTGTTTTGTTAATCCTCACTTGAGGATATTTTTTCCACTGATCTTTTAGAGAGTGTGTAAGGAAAGGAGGGGACAGAACCTGCAACCCAGGTATATGCTCTTGACCGGAAATCAAACCTGAGACCCTTCAGTGTGCTGGTCAATGCTCTAACCACTGAGCGGCCGGCAAGGGCTATAATAAATTTTGACATTGGACAGAGCAAGTACTTCTACCATGATGTTATTTAAAAGTATCTTAGCTATTCTTGGCCCTCTGAATTTCTATATACATTTTAGAATCAGTTTAGCAAAGTTCCCAATAAAAAAAACCGTTAGGATTTTTATGGAGATTGCATTGATCTATATAGATCAGTTTGGGGAACATTTACATCTCTACAACATTGAGTCTTCCAATCTATGAACCTGGTACAATAATCCATTATTTTCTTTCAATAATGTTTTATATTTTCACTCTGGAGTTTTTGCATATATTTGTTAGATATATTTATAGGTACCTGATATTTTTAAGGCTACTGTAAGTGGTTTCTTTTTATAAATTTCACTTTCTAACCTCACTGGTTTATAGAAATACAATAGGTTTTTATAAATACTTTTTTAAAAAAATAAATTACCTGACAATCTTTTTAAAAAATATTTTTATTGATTTTTTAGAGGGAAGGGGGGAGAGAGAGAGAGAGGGAGAGAGCGAAATATCGATGTCATAGAGAAACATGGATCTGTTTCCTCCTGCACACACCCTGACTGGGGATCAAACCCACAACCTGAGTATGTGCCCTGACTGGAAATTAAACTGATGACCTTTCAGTGCATGGGATGACAGTCAACCAACTGAGCCACACTGGCCAGGGCCCCACTGACTTAAAAAGGTCTCTCCTATCAAAATAAATAAATAAAACAGAAACAATAAACAAATACCCATAACCTGATTACTGATTCACCTCCTTCCTTTCTCGATTTTCCCAAAAGAATTATTATTCAGCAGACTGCCTCCCTTTGTTCTACTCATGTTTCAGCCCATACTAATCTGGCTTCTGGATCTGGCATACCACCAAAACAGCTCTTCATACCTATGAATTCCAGGTCACCAAAGCCAAAACACATTTCTTTCATTATTTTACTTGACCTCTTAACAATATTTGACATTGTGGACTACTCTCTCTCTCTCTATTCTCTATTTTTTAATCCTCACCCGAGGACATTTTTCCATTTTTTATTCAGACAGAGTGGGAGGGAGAGAAAGGAAGAGAGAGAGAGAGAGAGAAACATCGATGCGAAAGGGACATATCGAGTGGCTGCCACCCACACGACCAACCAGGGCTGGGGACAAACTGTGATCAAGGTATGCATCCTTACTGGGAACCGAACCCGGGTCTCTCTGGACCGCAGGCCAATACTCTAACCACTGGGCCAAACTGGCCAGGGCATCTCTCTCTCTTTAAACGCTACTCCCCTGACTTTCATGACAATGTTCTTGGCTCCCCTCCTATTATTCTGGCTATTCCTGATTATTATTCTTTGTGAGCTCATGCTTCTCTTTCCAGCCATTAAATATTGGACTTTCTCTAGGTTCCATTGTAGGCACTCTGCTCTTATGCTCACCTATATTTGGTGGCTTCAATGATCACTTATTTGCAAGAAGACTTACAAATTATTATCTCCTGCCTAGCCACTTGTCTGAGAACAAACCCATATATTTAACATTCTTTGCCTGGTTATCTCATAGAGCATCTCAAACTCAAAATATCCAAAACAGAACTCATGAGTTTCTATCCAAACCTAATTCCTTTGCATTGTTTCTTTTTCAGTGAATAATACCACCATCTATCAAGTAGCACAAGCATAAAACTGAGTCATCTTTCTCCCTCTATGATACAATCTATCAATCCATTTTATCTCCTAAATATTGAATTCATCCATTTCTCTCCATCTCCACTACCCTAGTCCAAGCTACCATCATCTTTCTCTAAGACTATTGTAATAACTTCTTCTTGATTCTAATTATAGTATTTCTCAAGCAATTCTCAACATCACAAAAAAACTTGAAATGAAGAAAAAACTCAAACATGGCCTATGAGGTCCTGTTCCTACATGGCCTGACACCTACTTGCCTCTCCAGCCTTGTCTTGAACCATCATGTTTTCTGTAACGGGCATAGTTTCTTTCAGTCTCTTACTCATTGTGTTCCTTTTGGACATGCCATTTTGACCAGAGGGCTCTTTCCCTTCCTCTTTGCCTCACATACTCTTACCCACCCTTCAGATCTCAAAGAAATGCCAATTCATTAAGAAGGCTTTCCTTGACTTCTACGCCCAGGTAAGACCAACCTATTACAGACATATGACCCTGCATATTTCTTCAAACATTTCTTTGCATGGAACTGTAAGTTCCATGAAGACAGACCTGATTTTACACACTACTCTTTGCCCTGCACAGTGTGTGATACAACTTTGGTGCTTTATATATATGGGGGAGGGGGCACACAAAAATAGGTTTATAATTGTGAGTATGTAAAACATTATTATTTGTTATTATATTATTTTTCATATGAACAACTACAAACTTACTTTTGCTACACTCTGTATTTGTTGTATGGATGATGAGGAAGAGCTTTAGGTTCCTTTCATCACCCATGAAACTTAACATAACATTTTCAAAAGTGTTAGTGATCAAGGACTCTAACCTACAGCAATACTCATGTATTGTACCAAGATGTATATGCAAGGGTGCTCATTACAACAATGTAATACCATCAATCTTTCATGAATGTATTACCTTTATACTTTAAAAACAATAAAAAAAGAAAATATTTAAATAAAAAGTATTAGTGAGCACTGTAACTCCAAAAAGGCAACATTCAAGATTTACCTTTGTAAACTGAGTAGGATCAAACCGAAGAACCTTTTGGTTACAGCAGGGATAAATTCCAGTGCCCACAGTATTCAGTGAACTTGCTGAAGGAGGATAAACCACCACTTCTGAGTGATATTGACAATGTGAAAATTCTATACAGAGAAAAACCTGAATAAAAGAAATATATAAAATACACTATTATTCCCATACTGAAATTTACATCTCAAAAATACTTTATTCAAGGCCACATATTGTATGTTCCCTTTCATTAAAATGTACAGAAATGGAAAATCTCTAGAGACACAAAATAGATTTGTTGTTGCCTGAGGTTGGAGGTAAGACTGGGAGTGGCAACAAATGGACACAAGCAATCTTTTGGGGATGATGGGAATGTGTTAAAATTGGATGGTGGTGATGGTTGTGCCATCTAAATTTGCTGAATTGTATACTTAAAATGAATGAATTTTATGGCATATACTTATGCCTCAATAAAATTGTTAAAAAGCAAAAACTACTAAAAATTCAGATGAATTAATTGATCCGATGTACATCTAATTTTATAATTAGCCAATCACATAAAAATTTTCAATGAAATAAAATTTTGCCTCTATTATTCTTTGCATATTTTAAGGTAAATATTTAGCATTAGTATTAATGAAAACTATGGAGTAACTTTGAATCATTGGTAAAGAAATGTATCAAGGTTTAATTAAAAATAGGTTTCAGATATGTTTATAAGTTGGTAAAATAATTTAAAGAAAATAATAAAATTACTAATTTTAAGCACTAATCTTAAACACAAAGGCAAAAAGAGAATACTCTATAATTCAGAATTCCTAGTTGTTAGTTCCAGTAAAAATTTTTGAGTCTGATAAAAGCTATAAGGTGTCTACTCATATACAAAGTATTTAGCAAATTATTTTTTTAGTTTATGAACTCTTCATAATAAATATTAAATGTTATAAATCAAATCAATATTCAATTTGCTATAAAGAAGAGGGGCCCCGCCAGTGTGGCTCAGTGGATTAAGCGTTGTCCCATGGACTGAGAAGTCTCAGTTTGAGTCCTGGTCAGGGCATATTCCAGGGTTTCAGGCTCAATCCCCAGTTGGAGGTGTGCAGGAGGCAGCCGATTGGTGTTTCTCTCCATATCAATGTTTCTATCTCTCTCCCTTCCTCTTTCTCTAAAAAAATTGTAACAACATTTTATTTTTTTTTAAAGAAGGGGAAAATAATCCCTCAAATTTTCTAGGTTCTGACAAACTAAACAAGTCAGGTTTTAGAAGATTGATATTCTTGATTATAAGTGATATTCCATTGTGAGAGGACCACTACACACTTTCTAAGTTTCAAAAAACCAAAAAACAAACTTGATAATATTAAGGGCTAGTAAAAATGTGGAGCAATTAGACCTATCATAAATAGCTAGGAGGAATGCAAGTTCAGGACTTTGGAAACTGTTAGGATTACATTTACCATGCAATCCAGCAATCCTACTTCTAGGTTATTACCCAAGAGAAATAAAAACCTAGATTTACATGAAAGCCTGTAGGAAATGTTTATATTTGCTTTCTTCATAATAGTCCCAAACTAGAAACATCTACAAAATCCTTCACTGGTGAATGGATAAACATTTCAAGTACATTTTGTTAAGTAAAAAGGTTGGACTCAAAAAATTATGGTATAATTTTATTTGTATGACATTTTGGAAAAATTATAATTATAAAGACACTTAAACAGGTCAGTGGTGGCTATGGATCTGGGGTGGGAGAAGGAGCTGACTACAAAAGGGCACAAGAAATTTTTAGGGTGATGGAAGTGGTCTATGCTTTGATTGTGGTGGTAGTTACATAACCTTATAAAAGGAATTGACTTGTCCTGGTTGGTTTGGCAAGGACCAAAGAGTCTCAGGTTCGATTCTGGTCAAGGGCAAGTACCTCAGTTGCAGTTCGTCCCCAGCCCTGGTCAGGGGCGTGCGAGAGGCAACCAGTTGATGTGTCTTTCTCACATCGATGTTTCTCTCTCTCTCTCCCCTCCCCACTCTATCTGAAGATAAATGGAAAAATATCCTCGGGTGAGGATTAAAAATAAATAAATAAATAAATAAATGTCTCCCAGCCTCCAGTAATTTTCCTCTTACCTGAGTAATGATTTCAGTAGAGGGAACGAAGAGCTGCTTATTAAAACCTTCAGAGTGAGATTTCTCACATTGTATAGGTGATTGATTTTACTGTATAAAGGTAAATTTTATTGTTTATAAATGATCCTTCAATAAATCCAATGTTAAAAAATTGTGTGGATATAGGGAGTCCATTGGATATAAACCTATACAGTGTGAGAAATCTCACTCTGAAGGTTTTAATAAGCAGCTCTTCCTTCCCTCTACTGAAATCATTACTCAAGTAAGAGGAAAATTACTGGAGGCAGGGAGACTTTAGGAATTCATAAAAAACTTTATGTAGAACACTCTGGATTTATACATAAGACTAATTAGGAAGGACTGTGACCTATAAACATCTATTTATTCTATAAAAGGATTTGTTATACATACCTTAAAATAGCAAGCTTCTTGTGCTTTTACAATAGACTTAATTTATTAAAAAATAAACAAACCATTTTTGAGAACACAAAGGGCACATATCAATAGCACCCTATCTGCAAAAGTGTTTCTGGATTTCTTAAGAAATGTATGGGCTAACAGAGAAACAGTTTGGCTGGAAATAATTGGAGGCAATAAGGACTTTGTATTTATTTTTCCATTGAAAAAATGTATTTGGTCACTTACAACCTGTTGGTTTTCTAAAAATTCAGCAAGTCATTGACTGTTTCAGTAATGAAAATAAAGAGGAAGAAGAAACGGAGTAAGAGAAATTAAGTCAGATGTAAGCAATGTTTAATAGCACCATTGTTTTTACCACTAATTTCTTAAAAAGAAATTGTCAGATATTGTCAAAACACATCCAAACATACTAATTAAACAGCATATGTCCAAACAGCCTGCTCTCCATGTTTGCAGGGCAGGATATTTTTTAAAAACTCACCTGATAACATTTCGAACAAGTTAGCCAGTTGACTGTTCCCCACAAGCGCCAATATACATCTCTCCAAGATTTTAATTCTTCAAAAAGGCTAATCAAATACTCATGAACATCCCAAGTCTTATCTCTGGGAAAAGAGCCTCAATTGTTTATTATTTTACAAGCAAGCAATACTAACAATTGTTTAGAGCAAATGTTTTTAAAATTGTGGATTATATCCAAGAATATTCCCCAACTGATGGCTGTGGGATGGACTACAGTGAATGGTAGATAAAATTTCATTTGGGAGTCCGTTATTCTTTCTTTTTCTGTGGATAACAGGAAAAGGTATGAAAGGTTGAATGCCAAATTATTTTTCTAAACTACATAAAGGGTTATAAATGAAATACAGTTTGAGTAGGCTAACATTTGGGACTTCAGCATATGTTGCTTTATTCTAATTATACATACTGTATAGTAAGTTGTTAATTATTGGTGATTCTAAACATTTCATTAATATGTTAGTTTTTTATATTTTTCTCAAAAGGCATTTTCTAGTAATTGAGTAATATAGTAATAAAAAATCAGGTATTGGTAATATATATATCTTTAGGTTGAGTAAGATCAACTTTCTTTTATCCTCACCCGAGGACATTTTTCCATTTTTTGTTCAGACAGAGTGGGAGAGAGAGAGAGAGAGTGAGAGAGAGAGAGAGAGAGAAACATCGACATGAAAGGGACACATCGAATGGCTGCCTCCCGCATGACCCAACCAGGGCCAGGCACAAACTGCAACCGAGGTACGTGCCCTTAGCAGGAACCAAACTGGGGCCTCTCTGGACCACAGGCCGATGCTCTAACTGCTGAACCAAACCGGCCAGGGCAGTAAGATCAACTTTTTACATTTTTTTTTCCTCTATTGATATTTAGAGAGAGAGAGAAGAATGGAGAAGGAAAGATAGAAACATCAATGAGAAAACATCGATTGGCCACCTCCCACATGTCCCCCACTGGGGATCAGGCCCACAACCTGGGTATGTACCCTGACCAGGAATTGAACCGGCGACCTCTTGGTGCATGGGTCAAAGCACAACCACTGAGCCACATCATCAGGGCAAGAAAGATCAACCTTTAAAATAGCAAAGCCTGCCCTGGCCAGTTTTGCTCAGTGGTTAGAGCATCAGCCTGTGGACCAGTAAGTCTTGGGTTCAGTTACTGTCAAAGGCATGTACCTCAGTTGCAGTTCATTCCTGGCCCTGTTCGGGATCATGAAGGAGGCAATCAGTCCATGTGTCCCTCTCACATCAGTGTTTTTCTCTCCCTGCCTGCCACTCTATCTGAAGATAAATGGAAAAGTATCCTTGGGTGAGGATTAAAAAATAAATAAAATAACAAAGGTTTAAAACACTATTTGTTATGTACATAGGTAACTCAAGTTCCTATTTTTTTCCAAGTCCCTTAATCTTTTCAAACTTTTGCTTTAAAAAAATTTTTTTTGTTTTCTTTATTGATCTTAGAGAAAGAAGAAGAGAGAGGGAGAGAGACAGAAACAACGATGAGAGAGAATAGCAATTGGCCGCCTCCTGCATGCCCTCCCACTGGGGACCTGGCCCATAACCTGAGCATGTGCCATGACTGGAAACTGAACTGGCAACATCTTAGTGCATGGTCAACACTCAACCACTGAGCCACACTGGCCAGGCCACTTTTGCTACTTTTAGCTTTAGTTCAACAAATAACAAAATGCCATCATGTTATTACAAATTACACAGGCTCCTGGCCAGTGTGGCTCAGGGGCTGAGCGTTGACTAATGCACCAGGAGGTCGCCTGTTGGATTCCTGGTCAGAGCACATGCCCAAGTTGTGGGCCAGATCCCCAGTGGGAGGCATGCAGGAGGCAACCAATCGATGTTCTCTCTCATTGATGTTTCCATCTCTCTCTCCCTCTCCCTTCCTTTCTCTCTAAAATCAATAAAGAAAAAAAATGTTTTTTTAAACAAACAAATTACACAGGCACATATGTTTTAAGTTAAAGACAATTTAAAAAATGTCATCAACAGCTGATTTGCTTAATAATACTTTGAATAAAACAAAAATGGATGTTGAAGTTAATATCAATTTTTTCACATAGTTATCTGCAGAATATATATAGAGAATATATGTTATTGCTATCAGAATGAACATAATTTTCTAATCATTAAAATTGATATTAGAGAGAGGAAGGGGGGAGAGAGAGAGAAAAAAAAATATATATTGATGTGAGAAAAAAGCATCAATTGGTTGCATGCGCCCTGAATGGGGATCAAATCCACAACCTGGGTATGTGCCCTGAACGGGAATCAAAGCTGCCGCCTTTAGGTGTACAGGACGATGCTCCAACCAAGCCACACCAGCCAGGGCAGAGTGGACATAATTTTTAAAAGAGGAATCAAGTTTCACCCTGGCCGGTGCAGCTCAGTGGTTCAAGCATTGGCCCTCAGACTGAAGGGTCTAGGGTTCAATTTTGATCAAGGGCATGTACTGGATTACAGGTTCAATCCCCAGCTGTGGTCAGGATTGTGCGGGAGGCAACCAATCCATATGTCTCTCTCACATCGATGTTCTCTCTCTATTTCTCCCTCCCTGCCTTCCACTCTCTAAAAATTCAATGGAAAAATATCCTCAAGTGAGGATTAACAACAAGAAAAGCAACCTGATTCTAAACAAATTCTAAATACATTATTAGTTTAAAAATAAATAAATAAAAGATGAATCAAGTCTCAAGACAAAAAAGTGCAAAGTCCCTGGTGTTTACAATAACTAAGAAAGATTTGCTGATATTGTATGGAGAGAAAAATGAAACACTTTACAGTTGACTGTGCTCATATTAGGGTCAAGTGTGTTTTCTGTACTTCTGTTTTAATGTTTAAAATATAAAATCTAACATTTGTGGATTTTTTCTTTAGTAAAAGTGGTGTATATTTTTTATAAAGAAAAAACCAGCCCTGGCTGGTTTGGCTCAGCAGTTGGAGCATGGGCCCAAGGACAAAGGGTCAAGAGTTCAATTCCCAGTCAAGGGCATGTACCTGGGTTGCAGGTTCGATAACTGGTCCCAGATGGGGCCATGCGGGAGGCAACCAATCAATGTATCTCTCACATTGATGTTTCTCTTTCTTTCTCCCTCCCTCCTTTCCACTCTATCTGAAAATCAATGGGAAAATATCCTCAGGTGAGGATTAACTAAAAAAAAGAAAAAAGAACAAGCACAAAGAAAGTTAAAACCATCCATAATACTACCACTCAAAGGTAACACCACAGTTAACATTTTAGTGAGCATGTTTCTAGTTTTGTTTTATAACCTGTTCTTTTCACTTAATACACCACTAACAACTTTATATGTAAGTATATATTCCTTTACAACATTATTCTCAAAGGCTGCACATTAAGACTTTATTAAATGTACTTTATATAAATATACTATTGTATGGATATATTTTAGTTTGTTTAATCATTTGAGCATTTCCTTATTTAAAAATTTAAACAACCTAGCAATAAATGTTCTTATTAAGTGCTTTCACAAATCCAATTATTACCTCTTTGGGTTAATTCCTATCAGTAGGATACTGTCAGAGAATATATATATTTGAAAGTTTGAGCTTTCTTGAGACATTATACTGTTTAACAACTTCTCCTTCCAACTCAGAATGAGAACTGGTTTTGAACTTAAAGGGGAATAAAAAAGAACTATGTATTAATGGAATATTAAAGAATACATAGATTATGGAAAATTCAATTTTAAAGACAATTTTCCTCATTTATCAAAATTCACCTGAAAGTAAATTTGTTTCTCTTGTCCAATTCAACATAACATTTATATAGATAACTAAAATCTTCTAGTGAAAAGAAATAACTGTATGGTACTGATGAGAATATCTTTCGAGATAAATGCACAACTATTTTTACTTAAAACCATACTGAGAATTACCCAATTAATTAAACATAGCCTTTAAAACAACTTTGTTTTGAAAGTAGCATCTTTCTAAATCAAAGTTGGATCACGTGTAGGAAATATATCCTTTACCTTATAGGAGTAGTTATGCTTTTATAAATATACTAGTAATTCACGTTTGAAAAGCTATATTTTCACTACACCTTATGTGAATGTACACAATATTTCCATGTCGATCCACATTGATTTTTCCAGGAATGCAAGGAATTCTTCTTTCTGTTTCTTTTGTTAAAAGTTTCTTACACAAACAACATCTATAACAAAAAAAGATACAAAAACATACAAGAAGGAAACTTTTGAATGTAGTAAAATTAAAGAATTTAGCTACATCATATAGCCCACCAAAGGAAAACATGTCACAATACCTGTACAGCGTCGCTGCATTATTCCGAGAATCTGGATTCAAGTACTCAGGATCAAACAGTCTCTCAATCTTCTTACAAAACAGTTTACTATTAACAACATATGACCAACAAGTTAATTTCCTATATCTATTTTACTAAAGTCACTTAATAGTAATGAAAACAAGTGCTGACCTATCTGCACATGTAGAAAATAAGATTAATAAATCCTCAGATTTACTAATTCTCTTTGGGAATTTATAATACATTTTTAGTGTTTTAAGTAAATATACCTCCTAATGAGAATGTTTGATCAAGAATCTATTTTATAAGAAAAATAAGACTGATGATTATCTACCTGTCTTTTAGTCTTTTGTTACTGGAATACTCAAGATTGAAGATTTTGGAAATTTAACAATTCTGGGTCTACCAACAACTCAGTATGTAATCTTTAGTAGCTTAACCTCTCTGAACCTTGTTTTCTCATCCATAAAATGGGGTTAATAATTCCAAACTTGAGAGTTTTTAGGAGGGTTAAATGAGATGTTTTTAAAGAGTGCCAGATATAGCATTAAGCATTCAATAAAAATTAATACTTTATTATAATGCATAGTATGACTGAACTTTAAACCTTCTAATTAATTAATTAATTCTAATTAAACTAATTTTCATTCATTCCAAGTATACCATCCTGTCTCTAGTTTCCCTCATGTAACATCTGCTATTAAAGGCCAGATTTAAGAACCTGATCCCATTTTTATGTATTTAGCTCTTGGATAATTTCCCTTTGTCTCATTTCTCTTAAGGACTAAACTCTTGGATCAATCCCTACATTATCAATTCCTTCCACTCTAATGAATCATCCTGGCCAGCAAATAAACATAATCTAATATTTCTCTCATTTAAATAGTCCTTTATAGGACTTCCGGTCAAGATGGCGTAGGTAAACGCGGTATCACGTCTTCCCACAACCACATCAAAGTTACAACTAAACTACAGAACAACCATCATTCAAAACCGCCTGAAATCCAGCTGAATGGAAGTCCTACAACTCCAGAATTAAAGCAGCAGCCACAGAGAGACTGGTAGGAGGGGCGGAGGCGCGACAGGCTGGTCCCACACCCACGTGTGGCAGATAAAAATCAGGAGGACACCTCGGCTGGGAAGGTTCTCCCTGAGGAGGGGTCACCGTCCCACACCAGACGCCCCGCTCAGGGTTCCAGTGCCAGGAAGAGGAGTCCCCATAACTTCTAGCTGGAAAAACCAGCGGGAACTGAGGCTCAGGGATGCTAAGGCGGCTGGAGCCCCAGGCAGCTCCTCTTAAAGGGCCCGCACACGCACTTATCAGACTCGCTCCCTCTAAGCTTGGAGGGGAGGCAGCTCAAGGGGCATCAGAGACATACAGGGAAGAACTGAGCTGTTTGGCATTGGAGCGAGGGCTGGAGAGGGGCCTTTCTCCAGGACAAACGTGCTGTCAGAGGCCTCTGTTCCTTTGGTGAGCCCTTCCCTGGGGCGGCAGACAGTCGCCATATCTGGGACTCCAGCAACCTGGCTCACACCGGTAGCCCTGCCCTGGTGATTCCCTGAGGCCCCGCCACCCCAACTTTCAGGCCCACCCAAGCTGTTGCCACTTGCTTGACCATAGGATTGGCCTGTCTTGGATCCTGCTTCAGGTTTTCCTAAATTCTTTCAAACAAGCAGCACCCATACCTCTCGATAAGTAATACACAGAAACAAACACAGGGAGGCAACCAAAATGAGGAGACAAAGAAACTGGTCCCAAATGAAAGAACAGAACAAACCCCAAGAAAAGAACTAAGCGAAATGGAAATAAGCAACCTAACAGATGCTGAGTTCAAAATACCGCTTATATGGATGCTCAATGAACTTAGTGAGAACCTCAGTGAACTTAGGGAGGGCCTCAAGAGCATAAAAAAGGACCAGTCAGAAATGATGGATGCACAGTCAGAAATGAAGGAGGCACTAACTGACATAAAGAATAATTTACACAGATTCAATAGTAGAGTACGTAAATCCAAGAAGCAAACCATCGATTTGGGCCCTGGCAGGTTTGGCTCAGCGGTTAGAGCGTCGGCTTGTGGTCTGGAGAGACCCGGGTTCGGTTCCTGCTAAGGGCACGTACCTCAGTTGCAGTATGTCCCCGGCCCTGGTTGGTCGTGCGGGTGGCAGCCACTCGATGTGTTCCTTTCACATCGATGTTTCTCTCTCTCTCTGTTCCTCTCTCTCCCTCCCACTCTACCTGAACAAAAAATGGAAAAATGTTCTCGGGTGAGGATAAAAAAAAACCAAAAAAAAAAAAACCATCAATTTGGAATATAAGGAAGCAAAAACACCCAATCAGAACAGCAAAAAGAAAAAAGAATCCAAAAAAATGAGGATAGTGTAAAGAGCCTCTGGGACAACTTCAAGCGTGCCAACATTTGCATCTTGGGGGTACCAGAAGGAGAAGAGCGAGAATAAGAAATTGAAAACCTGTTTGAAACAATAATGGCAGAAAAATTCCCTAACTTGATGAAGGAAACAGATATACAAGTCCAGGAAGCACAGAGAGTCCCAAACAAGATGAACCCCAAGAGGCCCACACCAAGACACATTATCATCAAACTGCAAAAGGTTCAACACAAAGAGAGAATCCTAAAAGCAGCTAGAGAAAGTCAGCTAGTTACCTACAAGGGAGTTCCCATAAGACTGTCAGCTGATTTCTCAAAAGAAACTTTGCAGGCCAGAAGGGAGTGGCAAGAAATATTCAGAGTGATGAAAAGCAAGAACCTACAACCAAGATTACTCTATCCTGCAAAGCTGTCATTTAGAATCGATGGCCATAGAAAGAGTTTCCCAGACAAAAAAAGTTAAAGGAATTCATCACCACCAAACCGTTATTATACGAAATGATAAAGGGTCTTTTTGAAGACAAAGATAAAATATATGAACAAACAAAATGGCAATGAATACATATCTATCGACAATGGAATCTACAAACAAAATGAATAGGCAGAACAGAAACTTTCTCACAGATACAGAGAACATTTTGTTGGATGCCAGATGGGAGGGGGGTTGGGGGAATGGGTGAAAAAGGTGAAGGGATTAAGAAGTACAAACTGGTTGCTAGACTGACAAACCTCAAAGAGAAGGGGGTTGGGGGGTGGGAAGAAATAAACCAAAGAACTTATATGCATAACCAATGGACACAGACAACAGTGTGGGAAAAGGTGGGAGGGGGGTGGGAGTGGGGAGGAGGGGGTGAATGGGGGAAAAACTAGGAACATCTGTAACACATTCAACAATAAAGATAAAAAAAAAAAAAAAAAAGCTCATTTCTAATGGAAGCCCAGAGGGTTTTTCATCAGTGCATTATGGGACAGTAGAGTGTTATTTAATTTTTATGACTGGCCAAGAATGAGGTAAAGAACTTCGCTTCTCACATGTAGTGATACCATATACCTGGAGCTTCCTAGTCACTCAGGCTAAGGCCAATCTTAATAATTTTTCACATAATTCACTGCCACAGTAAGCTCATATGTACATTATACAAAATAACAAATTTAGTTACTAATTTTTATCTTGAGTAATTGGCTCTGGATAAATTTTACTTCATTTAAAATAAAATGTAAATATATTTCTAAATATAATCTAAAATATTTTACTAAACTGAAATAGATATAACATAATAGAAACACTAGATTTAAAATTAAAAATTACCTCCTAAACTTATCTTTCTTGTCCTTTAAATCATCAACCTCATTGTGTGTGAACAAAGCAGCTATACGTGTAAGAAGATTTGCATTAATACAGTTCATGTTGCATGGGGTAGCTACTATGGCATTCATATTTTTATGGCAATACTGAATACATTGTTCAACCTGAAAAACACAGAATAGAAAATGAATGTTGAGAATAGCAGCATACAGGATAATGTCATATCAATACCATTCAAAGTTAGAATTCATTAAAAGCCTTATCCATGTATTGCTAGGTACTATCTGGGGTTTTGCCTCGTTGGGTTATACTTCAAAGTGGTCCAGCAGGTCAAATGTGTACAAACATATATACATAGCTAGAATAATAATTTTCAACCTTCTTAAAATATTTCATACAATAATGCAATGAGCATCTTTCATCGTTTTGGCAGGTATAAATCTTAGTTACAAACTCAAGTGTACGGGATATGTGACTTTCTATCACTAAACTTAGTTACAGTTTTAAGTTTCCATTTCCCTGAATAGCAAAAACATAATTTCAGTCACCTCAGGGTTTTCTCAGTCATATTGTGTTTGCTCTCTTTCTTCCCTTTTCTCCAACCTGAGGTATATTTATTTACTTTTGGAGGTAGATTTGGGTTCTGGGAAAACGTGGCCAATCATGTATTCTTCAAAATATTTTGCTTATGGCAGAAAAATTGTCCCTTAGGGCTTAGATTTCAAAACTCAAATGTTAAGGACTCTGGAAAATTTTTTTTTTTTTTTTCTGTAACCCTTCCCTGAAGTAATTAATACCAGCAACAGAATGGGGAGGGGCTACAGAGTAGAAAGAATACAGGGAACTAGTAAAACCCCAAACAATCAAATAAACAAATTTCATATCCATTAACATAGTAAAGGAGTATTCTGTCATGTGTAATCTTATCAGGGACTAAAAGCAAATATTTATTTAAAGTAAAACCACAAGAATATATAAAAACATTTAAATGATAAATCCATTCGTTAGCTAAAAAGAAAAAGAAGAAAAACAAATATACTTAATGTTAAAGCTTGATATGTATAGGAACACTGTGCTTTTATGTTTCATCAACTACTCTTAAACAACAGACATGAGCATCTGATTTATACCTACAAAATTATATTGTTTAATAGTTGGGTATTCATTCTTTTTTTTTTAATCCTCACCTGACATTTTTCAATATTTTATTCAGATAGAGTGGGAGGGAGAGAGAGAGAGAAACATCGACATGAAAGGGATACAGCAAGTGGTTGCCACCCACATGACCCAATCAGGGCCGGGGACAAACTGCAACCGAGGTACCTGCCCTTAGCGGGAACCAAACCTGGGTCTCTCCAGACCGCAGGCCAACGCTCTAACTGCGAGCCAAACAGGCCAGGGCTGGGTATTCGTTCTTAATTTGCTGAACTATAAATGAAAGACACAAATTAGCAAAACATACTTAAAGAAATTACTTATTCCCTGGCCGGTTTGGCTCGGCAGTTAGAGCATCGGCTCATGGACCAGAGACGCCCAGGTTCAGTTTGCACTAAGGGCATGTACCTTGGTTGCAGTTTGTCCCGGGCCCCTGTTGGGGTCATGTGGGTGGCAACCAGTCAATGTGTCTCTCTTGAACTGATGTTTCTCTTTCTCTCTCTCTCTCTCTTCCCCCCTCTCTCCCTCCCACTCTATCTGAAGATAAATGCAAAAATGTCCTCGGGTGAGGATTGAAAAAAAGAAAAGAAATTACTTAAATAGTGAAGCAAATATAGTCCAATTAATTTTCATTTAATTTGGTTTTAGAGTAAACTCCTTTTTAGGTTAAAGCTAATTCTATTTAGTTTCATCTAATACAACAGAGAGCTACTCCTTGAGGATAAATCGCTTGCTTTATAGGTATGATATACAAAAGATATATAGCAGCCTTAATCCCTTTCATATCAGAACAAAATACCTTCAAACATGAGCAGTTTATTCTAATGGACTCACACTCCTGAATTAACAATTACTTCGAAAAGATGCCTTAGAATTTTCTAACACTTAAAGGAAAAATCAAGTTAAACAGTAAATCAAGCATGGGTGGACAGAAGAGCTTAAATCTTTTATTAATACTTACCAATGAATCCATTTTCAAAAACTCTGAAGAAATAAGAATTGAAATGACATTTCCTGGCTCTAAAAAACAAACAAAAAAATTTTAATTCTCTTTTTTATTTGTATCTCAATCTCCTTAGAACAGGCTCCTTCTCACCTTAAAAGAGGATGATACTTTAATAAGAACAATTTAATATAACCTTATTATGGCTTATATACATGGAAGAAAGAAAATACAATGTTCAAACTTAGGGTATAAAAAAAATTACAGTATATTTGCCCTGGAATTAGATTCATATCAAGTAAAAGGACTCCAGCTAAAGATACAACCTATGCAAACTTCTCCTTAACTAATCAGGAAAAAATAAAATAAAATAAAATTGAGAATATAATTCATCACACAACAATCAGTGAGAAAATTTTTTAAATGATTAATGAGAGCCCTTGTTATTAGTTATTTCAAAAGCAAGTCAATGTTTACTATGAACAAATACTTAATGAAAAAGACTCTGAAAGGTAATATAAAATTTACTTCTGCAGAAGTGCTCAAGTTACTTCCTAAAGGCAGACTGAGCCTTCTGAGGCCTAACAGGGAAAGGGGAATGCCTGTTGATGCTATTGTTTTAGTAAACCTAAGTCATCTCCTATGAGGTATATTTAAGAAAAATTAAAATCTGATTTTATAGTACGAAGACAATCCACCTAAATAAAGAACTACACAGGTAATGATTAAAATAAGCAATCCCGCCCTGGCCAGTTTGGCTCAGCGGTTAGAGCGTCGGCCTGCGGTCCGGAGAGACCCGGGTTCGGTTCCCGCTAAGGGCACGTACTTCGGTTGCAGTTTGTCCCCGGCCCTGGTTGGTCGTGCGGGTGGCAGCCACTCGATGTGTCCGTTCACGTCGATGTTTCTCACTCTCTCTCCCTTCCTCTCTCTCCCTCCCTCTCTATCTGTACAAAAAATGGAAAAATATCCTCGGGTGAGGATAGAAAAAATAAAATAAAAATAAAAATAAGCAATCCCAATCTTTCCTTAAATAACAATTCTAGATTAAAGATTCTCCAGTAGAAATGAAAAGAGGAAGGAGCTGGTGAAAAAGTTCCCCAGGAAATTGCAGTATGATCTATTCCAGTTAAGATCCAGTGTCTGGATTATCAAAGACTTAATTAAGCATATGGTAAGCATTTTTCAGGTTAGAGTAAAGATTGCATTTATAGCCCTGGCCGGTTTGGCTCAGTGGTTGGAGCATTCGCCTGCAGACCAAAGGGCTGTGGGTTTGATTCCCAATCAAAAGCATGTACCTGGGTTGAGGGTTCGATCCCTTGCTCCAGTCAGGGTCATACGGGAGGCAACCAATCGATGTGTTTCTCTCATATTAATGTTTCTCTCTCTCCCTCCCTCCTTTCCACTCTATCTAAAAATCAATGGAAAAATATCCTCGGGTTAGGATTAAAAATAAATAAATTAATTAATTAATCAATCAATTAATTAATTAAGCTTATAAAAGTTTATATTTCTAGTCACTGATTAAGGTAAAAGATTACAGTGACTATTTTTGCTCCACTTCTTTTACCTTTACTATACACTTAAATATGCTGGATCAAACAATAGTTTTTTTCTCTCTACATAAATATATTTTAAATATATATTTTTGTTAATTTTTTTTTAGACAGAGGCCCGGAGAGAGAAACATGATCAGCTGCCTCCTGCACGCCCCCTACTGGGGATCAAGCCTGCAACAGGGTCATGTGCCCTGACAGGGAATCAAACCAGAGGACAATGCTTAATCCACTGAGCCACAATGGCCGGGCTTTCTCACATATTTTGATTTTTACTTCACGCATACATATCATATCTGGATGGTCTAGAATCTGTGGACTCTCATTGGCTGAAATTTTTGATTTAGCAATCTTGTAATTTTTATTTAAGGATCATTAGAAACATTTTCCATTTAATTTGTTCATTAAATGTAATAAATTATAAATTTCCCCAGAAAACTTTTATACTGTCAGTATAGATTAATCTACTAATAAGAGGTTAGAAATATTTTGGTACTGCTGTAAATAGCAATTCTAGTGCACAGAAAGACTATTAACGCACTAGCGAGATTTCCTATACAAGTCTATGCCCAGTGAAGGAGTACTTAGTAATTCTTCTTCTTATATAGAAAACTGGTTCTCAAACTTTTACTCTCAAGATCCCTTTGCAATCTTAAAAACTGAGACTCCCAAAGAGCTTTTGTTTATATAGATTATATCAGTATTTACTGTATTTGAAATTAAATTACCATATTAGAAATTAATATTTATTAATATATTTTAAAAGAACAATAAACTGCCCTGGCCAGTTTGGCTCAGCAGTTGGAGCGTTGGCCTGCGGTCCAGAGAGACCTGGGTTCGGTTCCTGCTAGGGGCGCGTACCTCAGTTGCAGTTTGTCCCTGGCCCTGATTGGTTGTGTGGGTGGCAGCCACTCGATGTGTCCCTTTCATGTCGATGTTTCTCTCTCTTCCTCTCTCTCCCCCTCCCACTCTATCTGAACAAAAAAATGGAGGGGTGTCCTTGGGTGAGGATTAAAAAAAAAAAAAGAACAATAAACTTATTACATGTTCACATATTTTTATGAAAATAACTAGATTTTTCCAAATTGAAAAAAATGTTCAGTGAGTAACACTGTTTGACATTTTTTGCAAATTTCTTCAATGTCTGACTTAATAGAAGACAGCTGGGTTCTCCTGCCTGGTTCTACATTCAATATGTGGGCAGTCTTCTTTGGTGTTACATTAAAACTTGATGAATGGTACTTTCTTAAGGTTAGTTGTGATGGGATCTGAAATATCAATGAACTTCTCCATTCCGTTACCTCACAATCCACTGATTTATCTTGTGTTTTGAATCTTTAACCCCATGTATGATTTTCTAAACATGCATTAGTCATTTGGAAAATACTGATTTACTGAGTTACATAGATCTTCCAAATGTTGCAGCATTTCCTTGTACAATATATAAAAATATCATATTTGTTAATATGATTACAAGTCTCATCAGAAAAATCTTTAAATATTAAAAGCTGTCAATCACATGAAAGCACATACAAGTTTTCCAAACTTTCATTTTCACTCGAAAGCTTCATTGGCAACAAATACTAGCTGTTGCTTCCCTTTAAATGACCAGCTAACTTCATTCATTTTCAAGACAATGTCTGCCAAATGCCTAAGTCTGAATAGTCAAAATTTGTGTCATTCTTTCAAGTAAAAATAGTTTTCTATTTTTAAAAAAGCAAGTAGATTAGCTTGCAACTCAAACAACCACACAAGTCTTTTTCCTCAAGACAACCATCATACTTTTGGTGCTCGGCAGAAGTACACTTCCCGAGTCACCTCACAGAATATTAAAAAGATGTATAATCAAGGGTCAAGACTTAATAAAATTGGTAATTTTTACTATTTAATCAAGGACATTCTTAAGTGAATCGGGACTTTTTCCTTTTTTTCCTTTTTACTATGAGTTCATTGTGCTAAAGAATAGAGACCACTAGTACCTTCATGTGTGCTCAAATTGCAACAGTTTCACTTCTGCACAACCTGAATAAATGTCAACACATAAAGACAAATAACATCTTGGTATTATTATTTAAATTGTCTTGACCTGCCCTGCTGGTGTGGCTCAGTGGTTGAGCATCGACCCATGCACCAGGAGGTCTCCAGTTCGATTCCAGGTCAGGGCATATGCCCAGGTTGTGGGCCAGGTCCCCAGTGGGGGGCATGCAGGAGGCGGCCAATCGATGTTCTCTCTCATCAATGTTTCCATCTCTCTCTCCCTCTCTGTTCCTCTCTCTCTCAAACAATTTTAAAAAAAAATTGTCTTGACCTGGTGGATCCTCTAAAAGGATCCTCCAGGACTCCAGTTATCCATGTACCATACAGTGAGAACTGCTGATCTAGAGACTTGTCCATTTGCCATAAATTCATTATAATTTACTAAAAAAGATGAGATATCAGTTTCCTAAAGGGCAGTTACTAATCTGAGTATAAGTGCTAATGTTCAAGCAATTATCCACATTTTATGTTTGGCCTAAAGCAACTATCTGGTGAAATACAAATTTAACTACAAAACAAGTAATAGATTGTCTTTTACCTAAAGTTGGCATTTCACAATCTTTATTCTCCTTAGTGTTCCTTTTAACATATTTTATCAACCAGTTGAAAATTTGAACATCACAATGAACTGAAATGTCCACCTCTTCCCAGCGCTGCGCATCCATAGATAAATATTCAGCAAAGTACTTCATTTCTGATATCAAAAGATCTCGTGGGCATATAAAATCTTCTTTCAAGTTTTTTGCTTCATCACATACATGGATCACCATGTTTGGCCTTCATAAAAAACGTTACACAGAAATAAAATTATTAGAGTTTTAGAAGAGGAACCAAGAATACTGACATTTTTGGAAGCATGAGAACAAGATGGTTTTATAGGTTTGATCACAAATCAGTTTTATACGATTTAAGTATCTTCTTAATCTGATACATATCTGAGATTATGAATAACTTTAGTTAAACTACTGATTTAAAAACAAATACAAATAATTTTACTATGGGATTCATTATTTACAGGTTTAAATTTATTATCTTCAAGTTATAAGTGATAAAAATTTTTAAAACAATACCAATTTACAATGAAAAATTAAATAATACATTCTAATTCTTGTGATGAACATAAAACAGTATTTCTACATGGCTGTGGATCTTGGAAAGAGATAATGCTAAATACTAAAATTTCCTTACTAGTAATAAGTAGAAAAAACAGTTAAAATTATTCACTAATCAAAAAATTAGCATGGCAATTTAGTTATTTTAAATTTTTTTTAGATAGAGTGGGAGTGAGAGAGAGGAAGAGAGAGAGAGAGAAATATCAACGTGACAGGGACACATCGAGTGGCTGCCTCCTGCACGACTCAACCAGGGCCAGGGAAAAACCGCAACCGAGGCACATGCCCCCAGCGGGAGCCAAACCCGGGTCTCTCTGGACCATAGGCCAATGCTCTAACTGCTGAGCCAAACCGGCCTGGGTCCAGAGAGACCCGGGTTTGGTTCCCGCTAAGGACATGTACCTCGGTTGCAGTCTGTCCCTGGCCCTGGTTGGGTCGTGTGGGTGGCAACCACTCTATGTATCCCTTTCACGTTGATGTTTCTCTCTCTCCCTCCCCCTCTATCTGAACAAAAAACAAAAAAATGTCCTCGGGTGAGGATAAAAAAAAAAAGAAACACTAACGTCATCCACAACTGCCTTCATGTCATTACAAAAGGAAGAGATTAAATAAGAGATACATCATCCTACAATATGAATTTAATGTGTGTCTAGTTGAACTTCATAAATTTCTAATACAAAAAAAATTACATTTGTTCTAATCACTATGCTGTACACCTGAAACAAATATAAAATAATACTGAATGTCAACTGTAACTGAAAAATAAAAATAAATAATTATATTTGAAATAAAATTAGGCTACCAGAAAAAGGATCATTAATGAACACTGTCAAGGTCAAAAAAATTTAAATAACTCCTTGCAAATTGTTCTTTCAGAGAAATTATAGTAAGAATACAAACAGGTAATGGCTGGTGTAATGAAACATAAAGTGTCTGTGGCTTTTTGGACCACCATATGAAATACTAGATAATGCTAGTAAAAAAATTATCTGATAAAAATTTTCTACCATACAAACAAACCTATCAGTTAAAATAATCTATGTAAAAAAATCTATGTAAATAAACTAAAAATCACTTTAAAGGGGTGATTGTTTTTTTATTGTGGTAAAATTAGCCATTTGAATAGTACAGTTCAGTGGCATTAAGTACATTCACATTGTTGTATAATCATCACTACTATCTATCTCCAGAAGTTTTTCAAAGGGGTAAACGTTATGGTATGTGAATTATATAGTAATAAAGCTGTTATAAGAAGAACTACCTAAACTGAAAATACACAAAGGAACTTTTAGAAACAATGTAAATGCTCTATATCTTCATTTGGGTGATGGTTACATGGTGAGTTCATTTGTTAAAACTCATCAAAGTGAATACTTAAAATATGTGCAGCTTATTGTATGTAAAATATACAAAACAATACAAAACTTGCAATATAGCCCTAGCCAGTGTGACTCGGTTGGTGGAGCATTGTCCCGTACAACAAAAGGTGGTGGGTTTGATTTTCTGTTAGGGCACCTACCCAGGTTGCCAGTTTGATCCCTGATTGGGACTCATGTGGGAGACAACTGATAGATGTTTCTCACCCACATGGAGGTTCCTTTCTCCTTCCTTCCTTCTTTCTTTCTTCTTTCTCTTTTTCTCTTTCCCTTCCTCACTACCTCCCTCCCTCTCTCTAAAATCAATAAAAGAAAATAAATAAAAATAAGGAGATTAAAAAAAACTTGCAATATACAGAAAAATATATTCTAATTTTTAAATGTTTCTATGAGTAATTATATTCAAATATGTCATTCTAAAATACATACCCAGTTTCTTTAATAAAGTTGGAGAATTAATGACAGATTTTCCTTTATATTTTAAATTTTACTTTTCAAAGTTTTATGATAATAGATGTTATTTCTAATATTTACAAAATGAAAATGAATTTTTAAAATGAAAATCTAGTCCAATTTATAAATGACACAAATAAGCCATACATTTAGCTATCAAGCAATTATTAATGTTCAACACATGAACCAAACTCATTTCAAGTGCTTGAGCAACTGTGTAATGTGATATTTCCTAAATTATGGTAACTGATATATATAATTACCAATCATATATTTTATAATTTAAAGTTGATATTCACAGTAAATTTTATCTAGCAAAGAACCAGCCTCCTACCCTTCAGATTCTTCATTCTTTTCTCCACCATTATGAGTAGTACAATTTTCACTTTCTGAAGAACAATTCCTTGTGGAAGCTATACTATGTCTTCCTTAAATACAGAAACAAACACATACAAAAACAAAGGGGGGAGGTTAGCATTTCTAGCTCATAATGGCTTTTTACTTATTAAATTGTTACATTGTAAATGCATGGTTTCCAAGGCTAGTTAAAGATGGTACTTTGTCAGGTGGCACTTCTCTCAATATTTCCAAAGGTCTGTGGAAGAAACAGCCCCCCAAAATGCGATAACAAATTGCTAGTTACACTGAAGATTTAAAAAATACTCATATGGTGTGTAAAAACAAGATTAATTGCTCAAAAGCCAACAATATAAATTTCTCTTCTTGAAGTAAAATTTACATCAATACTCTGACTGCTGTTGCTAAGATTAAAATAATTCACTACATTCTGAGGATTTTTAAAACCAGTTATTTCCAAAGCAACTGTGAAAAGCTTCTCTTCTACCCTGCCACTGTGTTGTCTGAAGCTATTATTGACTGCAATAAAGGATAGCTGTAAAAAAAAGATAACACAAGAGTCAAGCAAAATATCCTCAGTGGGGAAAAACCCTTAAGTAAAAGGTATAGGTCAAATACCTTTAAAATTTATAATATAACAAGGCTAAAAGATTGAAGCAGTAAATTTTGGTATAGTAAAGAGCTTTTTTTTTTTTTGGTAATAGTATTTGACCTATATATTAACATAGAATTTTTTTTTCATATATAGAAAAGAAAAATTTCTAAAATTTAGGAAGATACAAATACAAATAAATTTTCCTATTTATGTTTGTATTAGCCTTTACATAAATAAAGATTATTGGAATACTTCATATTTTGCAGAATTATCATAAGGATTTAAACACTGCATTTTGTTTTAAAGCCTTACCTGTTTTGGAAACTGCATCCTGAACAACTGAAGTCTCCTGAAATTCTCCGTGTGTGTCAAGTAGTGAGGATTTGATATATGCAGCTAAGGTTTCAACAGGACTCTCTCTAGCCATTAGGGGTCTATACTGGTTGTCAACAGGGGAGCTCCCACTACTCTTCAGTTCCTCAAACCTTTTTGCACACTGTAATGATATAAAAGGAAGAAAACAAAGGTCTGGCAGTTTTTAAATTAAAAAATAAGAAAATATATTCTAGCCTACTATTTGAAGATAGTTTTCTATAATTATTTTTTTAAGTGAATATTAACCCATGGGTAACTACTGAAAAATGAGCATACATTTCAATACAAAAAAGCCCCTGAAACATTTTTTTTTTAATTCAGGGTATAATTTTTTATTTATTTTTTGTTCAGATAGAGTGGGAGGGAGAGAGAGGGAGAGAGAGAGAGAAACATCGACGTGAAAGGTACACACCGAGTGGCTGCCACCCACATGACCCAACCAGGGCCGGGGACAAACTGCAACCAAGGTACATGCCCTTAGCAGGAACCAAACCCGGGTCTTTCTGGACCACAGGCTGACTGACGCTCTAACCGCTGAGCCAAACCAGCCAGAGCCAGGGTATAATTTTTAAAAAGTATACTTTCACCCAAAGACATAATATGTTTATGCTCTTATAGAAAAATGAAGAATGCCTTTATCCACCATATTTCCCTGTGGTCTACATCTATTATGAGTTCACAATTTTAATAATTTATTTAAAAACTTGGCTAATATTTTTACATTAAATGAGTTTTCACCAGGAATAAGACCAAATTCTGACCTTCAATGGATTAGTAAACCAAAAAGTTTCTGATTTGTGACACTAGATTTTTCTTTATTAAAATAATGAAGACAGTGAGGTTTACCTTGAACAAGATACTGTAATAACACTAAATATTGTAATAACACTTCAATGCCACGTATTTGGACATAGTTTGTTCTAGTACAGTGTTTTCCCTTAACCCATTAGTTAGTCAAGAAATCAAATGAGAAGGTCCAGATTAGCAATCGAAAAAAAATGAACTAGAATAGATTAGAAAATATCAATAGAGCATTAAGCATAGTAAGGCTAAGTAAGTACTCCTTCACAAAAATGCCTTCCTTACAGTGGGTGTTGATCAAACAACAATGCCATAGCATCTGTTTTTAAATCTCATCAATATCAACATGGATGGTAAATTCCATAGCAGACTAAGTCGTCTGGAAGGCGCAAAAGAAGAAAAATATATGCCATGTATGTGTACATATTAAATGAATAATGCATTGGGACCCAACTGGTGTGGCTCAGTGGTTGAGTGTCAACCCATGCACTGGGAGGTCACTGGTTCGATTCCGAGTCAGGGCACATGCCTAGGTCGTGGGCCAAATCCCCAGTCGGGGGGCATACTGGAAGCGATCAATCGATGTTTTCTCTCACCGGGCTCTCTCTCTCTCTCTCTCTCCCCCGCTTCCTCTCTCTCTAAAGATCAATAAAGAAAAAAATTTTTTAAAATAATAATGCAGTGGGTATGGCATCATTGATTTATTACGCAAATATTTAACATGTACCCAACTAGATATTAAGCACTATTTTCAGTAAAGATTGTTTATACAGTTGCTACCCAAAAACAACAACCAAAAAAATGCTTACTTAAGCCTTTGAAAAGCAAAGTAACACTTTATTTTTATTTTAAAAAAATATTTTTTCTTTATTAATTTTAGAGAGAGAGGAAGGGAGGAAGAGAGATAGAAACATTGATGAGAGAGAACATCGATTGGCCACCTCCTGCATGTCCCCCACTGGGGATCGGGCCCACAACCTGGGCATGTACCCTGACCAGGAATCAAGCCAGGGACCTCTTGGTGCATGGCTCGATGCTCAACCACTGAGCCACACTGGCTGGGCTGAAGTAACACTTAAAAAAAAAAAGGCATTTAAAAGATATATAAGTGTAGACTGAAATATTAATCAATATGCTCATCTCTTTAAACAAAGTTTTAAAATTAAATAAAAATAAGTAATATGATAAATAAGAAACAAAAAATAGTTTTTTATGAGTACTAAAAAAAGTAGTGTTGAAAGTCTGGGAAAAAAAAGAAAAAAAAAAGCTAGAACATCATTAGAAAAATGTACCTGTACCTGTAGACCGAGAGGACAAAGAATATAAAAAAATTTAACTGGATCTATTTTTCCCACAAAATGAGTTTATTTTTTGTAACACAAAGAAAGTAGTAGGTAGGCGTTTTGTTTTGTTTTTCACTGTTTGTGAACTTAGAGCTGATGTGTTTTACTAAGTTACGAAGGTGGTAGAATTACAGTCAGCAAAACAGTGATTTTACATAAAGGGGGGCACTGCCTTTCAGATGATATATAAATATCACCTATGCTATATTTCAATAAATAAAATAAAAAGGGTGAGAACTCTTGCACTGGGTAGGTAAGCTTTTAAAACACAGATTCTTTTGATATATTTTAGGTAAAGTTTATAGCTTTATTGAAAACTGAATGTAGATTTATCTTATTTAACAAAGCTTACAGCAATTTCTAAAAGTTAAAAAACAAGAAAATTATTAATTCTAAATATTTGAAATGAATACCTAATTGCTTAAAAACACAATTAAACTGCCCAGCTGGTGTGGCTCAGTGGACTGAGCACTGTCCCATGCACCGAGAAGTCACCAGTTTGATTCATTGTCAGGGCAAATGCCCAGGTTGAGGGCTCACAGTCAATGTTTCCCTCTCACGGATGTCTCTGTGTCTCTCTCTCCCTCTCCCTTCCTATCCAAATATCAATAAAAACATATTTTTTAAAAAATTATAAATAAATAAATAAACAAAAAATAATAAAATATTTTAATTGATTTTTTTAGAGAGAGAGGAAGGGAGAAAGAAATGGAAACATCGATGTGAGAGAGAAACATCAATCTGCTACTTCTTGCACACCCCCTACTGGGAATTGAGCCTGCAACCTGGGCATGTGCCCTGACCGGGAATCGAACCAGGACCTCTCAGTCCATAATATGATGCTCAGTTCACTGAGCCACACTGGCTAGGCTTAACATAAACTTTTAAACATTTGTATACAAGTGACTATCATAATAACTTAATAAGCTGAAAACAAACAAAAATAATCTAGATCCGGGGTTAACACATTTAACACATGGAAAACTATTATTATACTAGTAACAAATCCACAAATAGAAGGACATGAAACAAAAAAATATAAAATGTTCAATCTCTTCAGAATTTGAAGAAAGGTAAATTAAAACTTCAAAGAGATAACATTTATTAAACTATATATATAAATGAGAATTTTTTTTTTTTTTTTTTTTTTATCCTCACCCGAGGATATTTTTCCATTTTTTGTACAGATAGAGTGGGAGGGAGAGAGAGTGAGAAACATCGATGTGAAAGGGACACATCGAGTGGCTGCCACCCGCACAACCGACCAGGGCCGGGGACAAACTGCAACCGAGGTACGTGCCCTTAGCGGGAACTGAACCCGGGTCTCTCCGGACCGCAGGCCGACGCTCTAACCGCTGAGCCAAACTGGCCAGGGCAAAATTTTTTTTTTTTTTTTTTTTTTAATCCTCACCTGAGGACATTTTTCCATCTTTTGTTCAGGTAGAATGGGAGGGAGAGAGAGAACCAGAGAGAGAGAGAGAGACATCGATGTGAAAGGAACACATCGAGTGGCTGCCACCCGCACGACTGACCAGAGCAGGGGACAAACTGCAACCGAGGTACATGCCCCTAGCGGGAACCGAACCAGGGTCTCTCAGGACCGCAGGCCGATGCTTTAACCGCTGAGCCAAACCGGCCTATATAAATGAGAATTTTTAAAAGACACACACCCAGCCCTGGCCGCTATGGCTGGTTGGGCATTGCCCCGTACATGGAAAGGTTGCTGTGCAGGAGGCAGCTGATTGATGTTCTGATCTCATATTGATGTTTCTCTCTCCCTCTTCCTTTCTCTATCTCTAAAAATCAATTTAAAAATCTTTAAAAGACACACACACATAAATAATACTTATATAGAAAGTGCAAGGATCAGGCACTTATATGCTGACTGAAGTGTAACATGGATGACCCTTCTAGTGAGCATATGTAATAGACGCCTTAAAAATGCACAAGCCCTCTGATCAAGCAATTCTGCTTCTGGGATTTTCCACTAAGGACAGAAGAATAAGATTTTTATTAAAGTGGTATTTGTAGTAGTCAAAAGTTGAAAATAACAGCCTAAATATCCAACAAAGGGGACTGGTTCAGTAAATTATGATATAGCTCCAATAAAAAAATAGTATACCACCATCCAATGTTATAGAAGTTCATTACCTAACACATGAAGATGTTTACAATATGTTAAGTAAAAAAGCATGCAGCAAAACAGTATATTTGTTATACTATACATCCACTTTAGGATTTCATACATGTATAGAAAAGAATCTAGGCTCTGGCCTATTTGGCTCAGTGGTTAGAGCATCGGCCCGCGCACTAGGGAGTCCCGGGTTCAACTCCCGCTAAGGGCACGTACCTCGGTTGCAGTTTGTCCCTGGCCCCAGTTGGGATTGTGCAGGTGGCAACCAATCGCTGTGCCTCTCATGTCGATGTTTCTTTCTCTCTCTTCCTCCCTCTCTCCCCCCCACTCTGAAAGTAAATACAAAAAAAAAAGAATCTAGAATATATACAAGGTGTATGTATATCTTACTTTAGGTAGGGTCAAATAAATTCTGATTTTTTGCTGTTTTGTGTGTGTGTGTGTGTGTGTATTCTTTAAGGACATATATTGTTCAGTAATAAAAATTATTTAAAAAGTAACACTATTTAAAAACAGTCTGATTCACCATGTAGTTGTATTTTGGTTAAAAAAAATAATTCTTCAACTTGACCAGTTCAGCTCAGCAGTTAGAGCATCAGCCTGTGGACCAGAAAGGCCTGGGTTTGGTTCCCGCTAAGGGTATGTACCTCAGTTGCAGTTTGTTCCCAGCCCCGGTTGGGGTCGTGTGGGTGGCAACCACTTGATGTGTCTCTCTTACATTGGTGTTTCTCTCTCTCTCTTCCTCTTTCTCTCCCTCTCACTCTATCTGAAGATAAATGCAAAAAAATAAATAAAATAATTCCTCAGTTGGGTGAATTTGAATATGCAGTGGGTATTAGATGCTATGGTGGAGTTACTGTTAATTTTCTTAGGTTTAATTGTGGTAAGGTGGTTATGTAATGTCCCTATTTTAATGAGTATGCTGCAGTCTATAATATGAAATATTATGATGTCTGAAACTTATTGATTAATTGGAGAAAGAGAAAGGGGGGAGAGGGAAAGAGGGAGGGGGGGAGAGAGAGAGAAACATTGATTTGTTGTTCCATTTATTTATGCATTCATTGGTTGATTTTTTTTTTTTTTTGTCCTCACCCAAGGACATTTTTCCATATTTTGTTCATATAGACTGGGAGGGGGAGAAGGGGAGAGGGGGAGAGTGGGAGTGGAGGAGTGGGGGGGGGAGAGAGAGAGAAAGAGAGAGAGAGAGAGAGAGAAACATCGATGTGAAAGAGAAACATCGAGTGGCTGCCACCCGCACGACCCAACCAGGGAGCTGGGATCAAATTGCAACCGAGGTACGTGCCCTTAGCGGGAACCGAACCCAGGTCTCTCTGGATCTCAGGCCAATGCTCTAACCACTGAGCAAAACCGGCCAGGGCTCATTGGTTGATTTTTGTATGTGCTCTGATGGGGAGCTGAACCCAAAACCTTGGCATATCAGGGCAACACTCTAACTGATTGAGCTAACTGGCCAGGGCATGAAACTTACCTTAAAATGTCACAGAAAGCCCTAGCTAGTTTTGCTCAGCGGTTAGAGCATTGGCCCATGGACCAAAGGGTCTCGGGTTTGATTCCAGGTCAAGGACATGTACCTGGGTTGCAGGTTTGATCCCTGGCCCCAGTAAGGGTGGTGTGCAGGAGGCAGCCAATTGTATCTTTCCCTCCCTCCCCTCCACTCTATCTAAAAAATCAATGGAAAAATGTCCTTGGGTGAGGACTAACAAAAAAATAAAGTTAAAAAGAACATAGCAGTACTATTTACAATAGCTAAGATCTGGAAACAGCCTAGGTGTTCATCAATAGATGAGTGAATAAAGAAGTTGTGGTATATTTACACAATGGAATACTATGCAGCTGTAAAAGAAAAGGGATCTCTTTTCTGAGACAGGATAGAGAGACCTGGAGAGTATTATACTAAAAGAAATAAGCCAGTCAGAGAAAGTATTATATGATTTCACTTATATGTGGAATCTAATGAATAAAAACAAACTGAGGAACAAAACAGATCCAGAGACATGGAAGCAGGGAACAGAATGACGAACCTGAGAGGGAAAGGGGGTGGGTCAGGAAGAGATAAACCAAAAAACTTGAATGCACATATGCATAACCAAAGGACACAGACAATAGTGTGGTGAAGAGTGGGGGGAGGATGAGTAGGAGGGAGTCAATAGGGGATAAAGGAGGGAAATCTGTAATACTTTCGACAATAAAGATACATTTTTAAAAAGGACAAAGGTAGAGAAGAGATGCCTTAGTGCCAAGGGAAGGCAAGTAATGTCATAGCACAATGTAAGGCTTCAATAGCAGGTCAAGAGAGAAAAATGGAGGAAAAATGAAGGCTTTTAAAGGCACATGGCAGTACTGGTTGAATGCAAAAAATTCTGTGCCACAACAGACTGCCCAATATTTGTGTTATATCAGCTATTTAACTTCAGCAAAACACTAAACTTATCACATTATTAGTTTGAATTGTGTTTGTCTCGTGTCTATAATATGTAAATTAGGTTTATAATGGTATAGGTGTGTTTACACCTAGTATTGTTAGATTTCTTTAATTTACATTATGATAAAAATAACTTAAGTCAATATTGGGAGTTATAAGTATTTACCTTTAAATAGGAATTTAGTAACACAAAATCTTCTTTACAAAAATTTTATCTATCCATAATTTTACAGGAATGCTTCTATTGCTAAATTAAGATACTATGATTGGCCCCAGTGCAGCTCAGTTGGTTGAGCATCATCCTGTGCACCATAAGGTCACTGGTATGATTCCTGGTCAGGGCATATCCTCAGGTTGTGGGTTTAACCTCCAGTCGGGATGCTCATGGGAGGAAACTGATTGATGTTTCCCTCTTTCTCTCTCTAGAATCAATTAAAGAAAAAAATATTGAGAACGAATTTTCAGTTGTATAAACATGTAACACAAGGTTGAATTTAAACATACCAGGTAGGTTAATGTACTAAATAATCTATATAGTTTGTATCTAGTCAATTCATATCATATGCACATTCAGTATTTATACCTACATATAAATATGTAAACCTCAAGTCTTTTTTAAAATATGTTTTTATTGATTTTTTAGAGAGAGAGAGAGAAATAGAAACATTGATCGCCTGCCTCCTGCATGCCTTCCACCGGGGATCGAGCCTGCAACCTGGGCATGTGCCCTGACTGGGAATCCAACCGGGACCTCTAAGTCCATGGAACGACACTCAATCCACTGAGCCACACCAGCCAAGCAACCTCAAGTCTTTTTTTCTCTCTTACTAGTCATTCCTTGAAATTGATCACTTTTTCTGATTTTTTCAGGAGATATCTGTGGGACTGTTATTTACCTCTTTGGGTGTTAATCCAGGCACAAGCCTTGCCACAGTTTCCCAGTTGATGGTCTGATGGATTCCGATTAATGGATAAAGGAGCATGTCCAACACCATTTGGTTGTTATTATTCAGGAAATTGTTGTTTTCTGAATATCCACGACTCATCTTTTGGAACTAGAGAGAGACAGATTTACTTACATCTGATATCCAAATGTTTTCAGAACATTATAAATCAGTTATAATTCATTCCTAAAAAATACTTGCTGACCTAAAACAAACACAAAATATATAGCTCAAACTCTTAAAATATAATAGCATTTCAATATTATGACTTGGTGGAAGGATAGATAGAAGGATGGACAGATAAATAAATATGTGATTAAAACTATAATGCAAAAATATTAATGGTAGAATATAAGAGGTGGACATAAAAGTGTTCACCATAAAATTCTTTTGACTTTGCTGTATGTTTAACCTTTTCCACAATAAAACACTGGGGAAGTCCTGGCTGGTGTGCTCAGTGGTAAGAGCATTGGCCTGCACACCAAAGGGTTGCAGGTTCCATCCTTGGCCCCAGTTGGGATGTGTGCTTGAGACAACTAATCAATGTCTCTCTTTCACATTGATGTTTCTTTCTCTCCCTCTAAGTAATATTTATTTTTCTGTGAGTGAATGTCCATGCTACAAACAAGGAAAGCTGAGCATACTCAATTTTTACTGATGTAATAAAATGAAACTTAAAACCAAGTTAATCTGACACTTCAGAATAAGCATAATTATTGTTATTGTGTCATGTGATTATCACCAATAAATGATAGGGAGATTGCATTAACATCTATAATTAGTGTAATTTTTATGTTTGAAACAACTTTTTTTTGAAAAGTTCATCTCTCCTCACATCACACCCCCTATTCCAATCCACCTCTTAAATAACATACCCAGTGACCAAGGGTGTCCAAAATCTTCAGGCAATACACTAAGAAAAAAGGCTCTAAATGGATTTACAAATGAATGTAATTCAATAAACATTTATGTGCCAAGCATCAGGGATACAAAAATAAATATGGCATGGTCCCTGACCTCAAGGAGTATATGGTCTAGTGTGGGGTACTAGCAGACAAACTGCTCATTTGAATATCATTTGCTGAGGGGGAAGCCAGAGGAGCAGAGGAGGAACAGATAGCTATTTTTTACTGAGTACTTCCTAGGATGACTGTTATTTCAATAAAATCTCACCACATCCCTATATGAAAGGTGCTCTCCTTACTTTTACAAGATGAAGAAACAGGTTTAGAGAAGTTAAGGAATTTGTACAAGGCCACAGAACTAGTAAGAGGCAGAACAAGGTAAAACTGACTCTCACATCCATCTAGTTTCCATTATATACAAGAGGTATAGTACAGGGGAGACAGCAGGTTGGGAATGATGGCTTAGGGTGGGGAAAGAGAGTTTAACACATTTTGAAGTTGGTTATAATTCAATGAAACAATTTTGAAAGCTTCTGTTTGTGAGGCAGGGTAGGGGAAAGGCTGTGATATCAAAGCAAAAATGAAGCTACACCATTTAAACTTGGAGACTATTAAGAATTTATGTCAATTATAAAGCCAATTTTTTTTAAATCTTAAAAACATTTTTTTTTGGTACCAACGTATGTGAGACATTTATTTTATTCAAAGATTTGCTGAGCCCCCACTATGTGCCAGGAATTTTATCTGAAGTTAGAACATAAACTTACAAATGAGGATATGACAGAAGTTTATGGCGAGTCCTATCTATGATTTAATTGATGATGAATTTGGTGTTGGGAATATAGTCACCAAAGAGAAGCTCTTCCTATTGAAAGTATCATCTATTTTAGGACAGGAAATACAAAGCAAAGATCCATTGACAGACCAGGACAGTGCCAAAATCAGTGCACCCCCGAATCTGCAGCTCTGATTTGAGTATCAACTCCACACATGCTTGTCAAGGCGTCATCTGAACTTCAGTAGTAACATTAAATGATAATACCTCTGACTGACATCATTGGGAGAATCAAAGGGATTATTTTGTGAAAGCACTTTGCAGACAATGAATATACCTCATGAATGTGATGCAGTATGAAAAAACAATATCTACCTCCTAGATTTGTGCTGAGGATTATGTGAGATGTTTAAATGTTAGAATGGGGATTGGAATGTAGAAACTCTCAGTAAGGGTTAACTGATTAGTACTATGTAATTGTTTACATAAAACACTGATATAGGTAGGACACCAGGTGGTAGACATCATGAAGTTATCCTATATGTATGTGCATGAGCATTAAAATGAAACAAAGAAAAACACTAAGCACTCTAAAATCATAGCTTCCAGAGACATACTCTATTGATGGGCCAGAATCATGCTGTGGATAGAAGCACAGACCCTGGAGCCAGAATGCCCAAATTTTCATGTTGGTTCTACTACTTGAAGTATTATCCGGTTCATATTACTTATCTCTATGCCTCAATGTCCTCATTTATAAAACAAAAAAATTGGCTAGCTGACATAATTTTGAGGATACATGGACCAAGCTACCTGGTACACAGTAAGGACTATTTAATGTTTATAGTAGTAACGTTACCATTCTAGAGATCCTCAGAGTAAACAAATTCATAAAGATAAATGTGGCAGATAAAAGGAGAGACAGTAACTTTTCAATGAAATACACTTTCCACAAAATGAATAAAGTCAGATCTAGAGTCTTAACCAGTTTTATCACTTTCAATGTTTCAGCTATAAGAAAATAATACCTACCTTTGGGTGTTATTGTAAGGATTAAATAGTAATATATAAAGCACCCAGCACATTATCTGGCATACAAAAGGTGCTCAGTAAATAATCTGTCACCACTATGATTGTTCTTCCTCTTCCTATTTTGGCCATTATTGGCATTAAAAAGTTTGAGTAATAATTGTTTTTTAAAGTTTTGGTTTTGTTCTTACTATTTTAAATGTTTTTATTGATTTTTTTAGAGACAGAGGAAAGGAGAGAGAAACATCCATCAGCTGTCTCCTGCACACCCCCTACTGGGCATGTGCCCTGACCAGGAATCCAACTGGAACCTCTCAGTCCATGGGACAATGCTCAATCCACTGAACCACATCAGCCGGGCTAAGAATTATTTTAATAACTGTAAATCACTGCCTTGAGCTCACTTGAAAATAGATTTTACAGAACTTCATTGCTCTCCACTATGTGTCTGGCACATCATCACTGTCATACCACACAATTTGAGATGTATGTTAGGGCATGGGGTCTTTTTTATCATTTGTTTGGGCCTCAGTAGAAAATAGTCTACAACAGAATTCAGGGAACGAAACTGGGTGCTTCCCCCACCCCACTTCCAAAACGTTTATTTAAATTCCTAAAATATTTATTGTGTCCTACAATGTGTAGGCACCTGTTAGCTAATCACAAATACAATTCAGATCAAATACTTAAAAACTTGTATGTATATTTCAAATATGATACTCATACATTTGAAAATAAATCATCTAGATGTATAAAATTGTTTTCTGTTGATATATTCTTTACACAGCTGAATCATACCAGCAAGGGATGAGTACCCAGTATTAATTTCAGTTAAAATGTTCAAGAAAGCATCCCTTAGAGTCTGAATGTAAGTACGAAAGGTAGAGCACTGATGAATAGTCCTTAATAACAAATTCTCTCAGAAGGGCTGTCACAGTGCACCCCGTTCTGGAAAAAAAAAAAAAAAGTATAGACTTATCAAAACTGTGACAAAAAGTAAAGTTTGAAGCTCAAATTAAACTACTACTAAATCTATTCCCACTCATGACAAAATACATTTTAAACATTAATATTTAATATTTAAGTTGAAACATGTTACCAGAAATAAAAATTCTATTAGTTTAATACACAACACTTTTCAAGAATGCACTTCATGCCCCCACCTTCCCACAAGCTTGGTTTATTTAAATATATCTGTAAGGCCAATCTAATTAATCAATTAATTAATTAATCAATTAATTAATCAATCAAGACCAGTAGAGATCCACGACTGGCATCTGATTTTTTCCCTTTTCGAACGGGGAGAAGGCTCCTCCAGACAGATCATTTGCCCCAAGCAGCGGGGAAAGGGGAAGAGGGGAAGCGGGGAGGCGGGCGGGCAGGTCCGGGCCCGCGGCGTGACCGGGTGGGAGTAACACCGAGTCCTCCGGCACCGGGGAGAAGCCTGGACAGGCTTCCAGACAGACCTCCGACGAGAACGGAGCCAGTGGCTTTCTTCGAGAAGGAGAAAGTAAATCCACATCTGAAACCCGGGATGGAGACCAGAGCCTGCAAAGCTTCGGCCGGGGTCCGCGCGGCGCGTCTGCCACTCCGCCTTCATGCTGGGGAGAGGCAGGCTCTCCGGCGGGGCGGCTGGGGGCGCACAAAGGCGTCGGGCAGAGGGGCGGAGGGGCAGCCGGCGGGCAGACGTTGGCTCCCTCGGCAGGTGCGCGGGCAGGACGGTGGAGGGGCCAGGCCCGGCTGGGCCAGCGGGCGGCGGACGGCGCTGGGGGCGGTCGCAGGCGTTTGGGCGAGCGAGACCCAGCCCGGCCCGGCCCGGCCCGCCAGGGATGGAGGCCGCGGCGGGAACGCGAGGGCTGCCAGCGGCACCGCCCCTCGCCGCACACTTCCCGGCCCCTGGCCGGCACCCGAGCGCCCCTGGCGTCTCGCTCACCTCCACAGGGCCGCGGCGGCCCTCGCTGCACCTCCGTCACCCGCGGAGGCCGGCTCTGTCCGCGCTCGAGCCATGAAGCTCCCGCTACCCGGCGGCAGCCCGGCCGCGGCCTGCACTCGCAGCCCTCACACGCCGCCCCGCCCTCCTGTGAGCGGCTGGGACCAGCGCCTAGGGGCGGGGCAGCGCCCGGCCAGCGTCCTGGCTAATCGCGGGCCAGCGCCACAGCGGCGGAGCCAATGAGCGACGAGCTCCTGTCGGGCGGGAGGGAGCCGAACGAGTGGCTGCAGCGGGCGGCTGCGGCGTGTTGCCTCAGTCTTCCCCTGCCCCCTCTGGGCGTTCTCTCCCCGGCTTGTCGCAGTGCAGTGTCCCACCCTCCCAGCGTCTCTTAGCAACCAGACCCTTCGAGCCCGATCTTAGGTGACCAACTCTGAGTCCAGAGGAAGGGGAACGTGTTAGGGGAATATGGGAGAGAGAAAAGAACTCGGATAAAGGATGGACGAAATGATTTTCGATGCAGGTCACTTGGGTATAGCTGCTTAGTTTAGGTAGAATGGCAAACCGTATAATCTGAGATACTAAAAGTATCTTGGATTAAGCATTGTCTTTATCAAGAGGCATCTCTTGAAAAATATAGCTCTGGGTTACAAATTCAGTTTTTATTCACATTAATAGGTTCAGCATGTGTGTGCGTTATTCTGAATATTACCACTGGGAACCTGGGAACCTGTATAAGGCCCCGTCTTGTACGGTAAATACTACACGTCATATTTTAAACTTCCACTTGGAATTTGTCTGTTCTGAGAACAAAAAACTAAATGTTAGAATCAGAAAGGACAGAAAAAGTAAAGCCCTATCCAAATGAATAATTACTATTATGAGATCTGATGACAAAGTGGCTAAATGTACAGAAAGTCCGTTTTTTTCCCAATCACCTGTGACTTTCTGCAAATATTTTACAATTTTTGTTTCATAAAGCCACTGAAGTCAGGCTAGTTAGGTAAATTCATGAGAGGCTACTTTCTTTTTTTCCTTTCACATAGGCTGGAACCCAGTTGTGATGATGGTGAGCCAGCTTAAACCACAAGGACCTTTAAGGAATTCCAGAGAAATAACACAGAAGGAACCTGGGCCATGAATTACCTTGTGAAGGAAAGCTGCCCAACAGGCCCTAGACTGCCTTTCTACCTCTGGATTATTATGTGGGGAAAAAGTGTTTTATCTTGCTTTAGCTACTGCATTTTTTTTTTTTTTTTTAATCCTCACCTGAGGACATTTTTTTTTTTGTTTTTTGTTTTTGTTCAGTTAGAGTGAGAGGGAGAGAGAGACAGAGAGAGAAACATCGACGTGAAAGGGACACATCGAGTGGCTGCCACCCGCACGACCCAACCAGGGCCGAGGACAAACCGCAACCGAGGTACATGCCCTTAGCGGGAACCGAACCCGGGTCTCTCTGGACCGCAGGCTGACGCTCTAACCGCTGAGCCAAACCGGCCAGGGCGCTACTGTATTTTTTTACCTATTTGTTATAAAAGCTTAGTGAAGTCCCTAACAGGGAAAGTTGGTTGTGAAAGTGGTGTGCTACAATAACAGTGATCTAAGATCTACATGGCATTGGCAGGTGGAAATATATTGCAGGCTGGAAGGCTGTTCTTTCCAAATGTATTGGGGAAAGTGTCACTTTTGTTAACTTAGAAGGCAGACTGTCAAGCCTATAGCTCTGAGGGAAGTAGTTGAAAAAACTCAGAATATGAGTTTTTGTTGGCTGCCACTCCTTGCTTTTAGCAAGGTTTAACAAAAAGAAATTAAATCAGTTAAGAATTAACCAGTTTGCAATCAGATGCATCAGAGAATAGAGCTCTATTACTGGGCCCCACCCATAACATCTGCTCCAGCTGTTGATCCAATGTTGTGGTACATGAGAACTGAGAGACCACCAGAGCCAAATTAAAGCCAGATAGAGAGCAAAGTCAGCCGGTGACTGATCCCCAGTTCTCGGAGATTAGCCCCGACTTTCAGCTGATTTTTTATTTTATAGGGGGTTTGTTACAAACGTCTGCAACTGGCATTTCTTGCTGGCCTTGGGAAGAGCAAGCAAACAAGTACAGGAGCGGAGGCAGTTAGTGATAAGTGGGAGGGAGATAAGCAGGAGGGAACGGAGGTGGGAGCCGAGGCGAAAGAGAACTGGGTGAACTGGGTCATCACATATCTATCCTGCTATTCATTCTATTTTCTAAGTTCTAAAAACTAACAATTTCACTTAGAGAACAAATTCATTTAGAGAAGTCCCAGGCCAGCTGGTACTTCCTCAGTTTGCCTCTGAAAGCTTCATAGTTGGCCTTTTATTTAATCAGGACAACGTGATAGGAGCAGGCCAGTACACCATGTATTATTACTATGCATCTCTGGGGAATCAATTCAGGTACTTAATGTTTGAAGTTTATCCTCATCTCTCACCAGTCTTTTCTAGAACAATATTCATTTACAGAACAACAACGCTAGAAAAGATCTTTGAAAAATCAACTTCAATCTTTTCATTTTAAGGTCAGAGAAAGCTTAAGTGACTTGTCCACGGTCAAATAGCCAGCTCATTAGGTTCAATGACCTTTGAAAGAAGAATCTTTGGTATTCTACAGATGTTCCTTCCTGAGGCCTTTTATGCAGAATGGGCAATTTTACCCAACTCTTCCATCCACTTTCCCTTCCTCATCAAGTCGAACTCTTTTGTGTTCATAAATCCATCTATCCATCTACCAAGTTGCTATAACAAAGACATCCAAAATACAGTGGCTTAAACATGATACAAGTTTATTTTTCTCTCAAATTACAGCAGAGGTGGTAATCCAGGGCTGACACGGCTTCTTTGCCATCCTTGACACTCAACTTCCATCACAGCATCTGAAATGGCTGCAAAGCACTCACTCTTACTTCCACACCCCACAGAAGAAATGGGAGACGGGGCAATAATTCCATGCCCCAGAACTTTTAAAACTGAATTTATGGGGTGACATTAGTTAATAAAATTATATAAGTTTCAGGAGTACAATTCTATAATACATCATCTGTATCATGCTCCAGGACTTTTAAAGGCATGATCCAGAAGTCACATGTGTCACTTCCACTGATATCCCATTGGCTAAAATTTAACCATAAAGGAGGACAGATAATGTAGGCTCCTTTTGAGCAGCTGTGCACCCAACTAAAAGGTGGGAGTTTTAAATTATGGGAGAGTGAATATTGGTGGTCAATTAGCAATCTCTGCAGAGCAGTCTAGTTTCAAGGATTATATACTACTCAGACCTCTATTATTGACTTCATTACAGTAACTTACTTTTGAAACATTTTTAACTAGTGGAATGTGAAACTAAAAGGGAAAATCGTTAGTACTGCAAATATATATATATTCACACAGAAAAATGTTTATGGATAAAAGGCAATAAAAATAAATGCAATGCCTTTTGGACCCCAGTTGCTACCAAACATTACTGTAGAGCATGATTTAAAACTAAATGAACTTTCTTTATGATAAGGCAAAGAGTTGTATAAAACAAAACAAGTATAATGTGGAAAAATAAAAGATGTATCAATAAGCACATTTCCTTCATCTGCTTCCGGGTCTTCAAGAATTATCAGCTAGGTGTGTTGGAGGCCATGTTCACTTCCCAAAAAAGTCTCTGATAGTTATTATATCCCAGTGTGGAGTTCTTTTTACTGTCCCAAAGTGGAGGCCCCTGTTCACAAAAGCCACTTAAATTGATATGCCTTATGTTCAGACTCCAAGTCCCACATGGTGTCACCACATGTTTGTGTGTGTGTGGCAGTTCTGTGCCCAACATTGTAGAATTTTGACTGCTTACTCCTGAACAACATTTTCCTCTTGTCCCTCATACTCGTGCTAGCAACAGGTAGAGAATTTCCCACTCTTCTAATAGGCTGCTAGAAGAGAATATCTCTATTCCTAAAGGACAGTGTCCCACCTGATCCCCGTAACAGGTCTCTAGTCCTTAAAGACAGCTCCTGATTCAAAACTATCTTGATAACCTGGCTATTAACAAGTGCTTATCACCTTTAACAAGAACCCTTACTATATGTTAGGTGTTCAACACAGTATCCTCTCAACAACTCTAATAAATAGATATTAACAAATTTCAAATGGAAAATGTGTTAACTATACTAATAAATTCATTTTGGTTGGCCTTTAAAATTTGTGTTTTCACATACAAGTTGAAAAACAGTAAAGTAGTATATGTTTAATCATTAATACATTGGTTGAGGAGTGGACTTTTCCAATCAATTTATGAGTTTAGTTGCCATGTACCATATATGGATGAAAATTTTCAAACAATATTGCCATGGACTAAAAAACACACACACACATGCACACTCATAAAACTACACTGTTATAAATGTATCTGCTTTTCTTCTCTGGGTCAGAAGGCACTTAGGAACCTTCCTAAACCTTAAAGCAATAGTTCCCAAATGTCTGTCTTAGTTTAAAGACCTGTGAGGATCTGTGGCAAATGGGGGGAAAAAAAAAAGAAATGTACATGCATGCTGATTTATTAATTTTATTAGTAGAAATTATGCCTTTTCTACTTTCTGGTGTTAATATCCTTTCTTCATTCCTGGTTTCTCCTCACATCTCATTGAAGATTTTGAGTTTCCCAGTTAATTTCAAACTAAGGATTAGTTTTTAAAAAGTAAATATTATGCCCTGGCTGGTTTGGCTGAGCAGTTAGAGCATCGACCTGCAGACCAATGAGTCCCAGGTTTGATTCGGGTCAAGGGCATGTACCTCAGTTGTGGTTCATCCCCAGCCCTGGTTGGGTTGTGCCGGAGGCAACCAGTCGATGTGTCTCTCTCATGTCGATGTTTCTCTTTCTCTCTCTCTCCCTCCCTCCCACTCTGTCTAATGATAAATAGAAAAAAATATCCTTAGGTGAGGATTGAAAAAAAAAAAGTAAATATTAAACAAAACATCTCAAAGAAACAAAAACACATTTATTGATATTTCACAATGTAAAAATTGCAATAATTGGCTATGAGTGTCTGGAAATTGGAGGGAA